ACGATCGAATACGGTCCAACGCATCCTCGATGAGGCCCAGGCGCTGGTGTAGTTTCTGAATTACACATTTCTAGGGGCCATGGGAACTAAGGAACCACTAGCTTCGTTTACTAGGGATTTAGAGATGAGGTGATCAGTTAATCCCATGGGTTTGGGTAGATTCTTTTTTTATTTGATTCGATTTGGTTTAGTGTTAGTGTTTTCTTTTTTTTTTTTTTCTTTTTTTCCCCAACCGAAATAAAAAACCACGTGGTGGGTGGTGGATCGACCGTGGATCATACTATTTCCTGGGAATCTGGGAATTTCTTTGGTCATCTTTTGGACGTATCTTGGTTTGTCTCGTCATCCAAGACCCAAGGATTCGATCCAATGAACGAGAAAGTGGGGGACCGACGGATTCGATCTTTTGCTCCGATAGCATCGCGGGGCCCAGTCAAAAAACAGAAGGAGAGTGCGAATCATGTTTCTGCACCTCAGGAAGCTAGTCAGAACGCCACTCGCTTAACCTTCGGGCATGTCCGTGGCGAGATCAGGAAGCTTTAAACCTGCAGGAGATTACCGCTAGGCTGGATCAGGAACAAGGGAAAAAACCGAACGTTAGGAAAATCCCCCAAGGACCGCCGATCTTCTCTCAGGGACCACTTTTCTATATATATGTTCCCCAGTGTTTGTTCTTATCTGAGAAGATCTCTAGGACCGGTGCATCGGGACTGTTCAGAGTCACAAAGTGCTTGTTGAATGTGGTCTGGATTCTCGTTCTTCCCCGCAGCTGGATTTCGTATCGAATACCATATCGGATCGATTGATACCAATCCCATCGGATCTTGATTGGCGGGTCACCGTGTTGTATAGGTACATTCCTCCGTGAATACCATCCAATACCACAAATACCAAGGCAAAACGGGGATTTCCCTGGTTTCGAGTGACGGGTCTCCATTCAGCCTTGATCTAGACCCAGTGGACCCGCCTAGCCCCATCCATTTTCGACGGGTTTTCCTACTTTTCTTTGTTTTTTTCCTTGCCCTCTTTTTCTTTTAGCCTCATTTTCATGGTATTTGTTGTTTTTTTCCCCGCGATTATGTCCGGAGCTAAGGGCTTTTCTCTTCGGATCCGGTATTGTATCCTAATCTTCAGCCAGCCTTTAAAGATTTCAAATACTTACATGTACTTCAAATCCCGAGCACTAAACCACTAGCTTGGTTGTAAGAATAGCTGCCTTTTATATACTTTTATTTATTTTAATATTTCTTTTTTGCTTCCCACATGGTTGGCACCTGCATGCCATCTTGACTCTTTTGGGGCATTTGGATCTATTTTCTCATAACCCTTTTTTTCTCATTTTCCCACTTTGTTTCCCCCGGACGAACCGGATCGTGTTTCCCTGGACGCCTTCTGATCTGTTCTCCTCCATTCCCTTCTCAACCCATTCCCCCTTTCCTTTTCGGTACTTGCAGAGGAGATTCCACAGGTTCCCGCCACCCGTCAAGCCAGATAGGAACAGGGCTGCGCCATACTGATGCACCAACCCACCCGTTCCTCCCTCGTGATGTGAGAACCTACATAACCCTTCATCCCTCCCCCGGTTCTTTCCATTTTCCCATCTCATACCTCAACTTTTCTCCATCCTTTCTCTCGCACTCTCGCTCTCTCTATCTCTTCTCTGCTGTGCTGTAAAGCTTCTCAATTGATCAACCTTCCCCGCAATTGACGATCATCTCGATTCGCCCAACGTTTCACTCACTACTACCCGTACGTGTTACAATCCCGTCTGCTTGTACATTCGAACATTTGAATATGTAAACTAATTGGTTCATTAAATTAATTGAAACAGGGCACTCAGTCAGCCTTATGACGGTCACCAGCCTGGTGATGCAAAACCGTCGAGGCCATGCCTCCAGACCCCTACGACTCCCCATAATTGCTCCCAAGGAAGAGATCATTGGGAAACCGGAAAAGGGTTTGGTCGCCCCTCCGCGCATACGCTTGCCCCCGCGATCAAGAACTGGTTGTTGGTATGTGTCTACCCCGGCGCTTGGCAAAATTCCGGCGGCTAACCAATTTCTAGGACATGTCGGGTGAGTTAATTTTGGAATTCTTTCCCCCTCAAAATAAAGGATTCAAATTAATCGAAACAATTTGCCATTTTAACAGAGTCGGAAAGGTAAGGGCCTGGTCTCCAATTTCCCTGAAGAATTATGGCTAACATTCCTTGGCAGTCAAATGTGATGAAGGACATCCACAATGCAATGTAGGCATTCCTCGGCTCGATCTGCCACAAACATCTTCTAAACTCATGGTTCTCTCAGCAATGTACTCGACTCGGCCATATTTGTGACTACCGGCCTCGCCTCGCCTTTCGGGATGACACTCCCCGCATTATGGGCCGAATGGCCGATGTGAAGACCGAGGGGAACCATATCTGGGATCGTAAGCGTTCTGCAGCCTGACTCTGTAATCTCCACTAACGTGAAAGTTAGTCTCCTCACCAACCCCTAGCGAGGACAATCGATCGGATTACTTTTCCCCAAGGGATTCCCTCCCGCCCTTTGCTTTACTCACCTCGGATGAGGACCGGGAGAGAAAAGCCGAAGCTTCCAGCCCAGGCACGTACCATGTGGTCGTGATTCCAGATAGCTTCTCCACACTGCCGGAATATGCAGATGACCTGATGGAGAAGCCGGTAGTCATGAGCACTGAAATCAGTAGCTCCGTGGCGAGTAGCCCCATAGGACACATGTCGAGCACTACTCACGATCCCAACGTGGTCATTCTGAAAACATTCGAGGATGTGGCCCGGCGTTCTCCCTCGGCCGGTAGAACATCCAGGGTTTCACCGACCTCAGAGATCTCGGATCCTTTTTGTGCTCTCTCCTTATCTCCCATTATTGATTCGCTGCCTTCCCCGGTCATCCTGGAAGACGAGAAACTATCCTTCTTTGATGCATACCTCGACCAAGAAAGTCAGGATAACGCGCTCTTTTCTCATTTCCGTCATGTTGTCTGGAAGCAACTGTTCCCACATAACCGTGAACAGGATGACTCATTTGGGCTGGAGAGTAGTGGCATGACACTAAGTGTGGATTTTATTGAGCGCGAGGCTGCTCTCTTCCCTCCGGTCAGTCCGGTTTTCTATTACATCGACTATTTTACATACTGACTCATCATTTCCAGCTTTCCCATGCCATAATGGCTGTTTCAGCACTCAGTCTCTCGCACAGTGGCACTGGTCAGAGTGTCGACGCGCTACAGTACTACCAACAAGCCTTTCCTTCTCTCCAAACCAGCCTGCGCAACAGCGATGATCTCGTCTCTGATGGCCTGTTTTTGACTCACTTTCTACTCTTGATCTACGAGGTAAATGATCGTTCGATAACTATCTATTGCTCGATATTTATATATTGACCTTCTTTCGCACAGGTGTCCGCTGCTGAACCCCATGGCTCAAATCTCTGGTCTCACCACATCTCACGCTTACTTCACATTTCTTTCCTTCGTCGAAATCACTTTGGCCGCGAGCCTCACCCATTCATTATCTGGTGGATCTGCCACATCGACCTGTACGCTCTATTGAGTGGAGCAGGAGATGGAGAATTTGTGCGGGCCATCATTGATCACCAGATCCTTCCGGGATCCGAGTGTCTCCTCTACCCTTCCGTCGCAGAAGGCTTCAGTGTTATTTACCCCGAAGAGCATGACAGCTTGCCCGTCATGATGCGCCTCTATGCCGATACATTTAGACTGGCCACCCAGCTAGCTTTCCTCGGAGCACAGCTCCGCCGAGAGAAGCAAACCTTGCCCATCGCAGAATTCGACCAACGCACAAAGGAAGTGCGCGACTTGCGCCAAGCCTTTGGGCGCTTGTGGGAAGCTCCCGACGTTGCTTGGTACCACCAGCGTCAAGAAAGCCTTCCTCGGCGATCTCAGGAACTCCTCCAACAGTCGGCTACCCTCTTCCATGTCTGCCACTTATTCTCCTACAGTAGCATGTGGTCAGGTCAACGATTAGAGTCGGAGTTCAGCCCCGATGGAGAAATTGACCATCATGCCTCGGAGATCCTGCGAATTGCAGAACAGACGACAAATACTCGCCGTGCTGACCGGCACTTCCTTGTTTTCCCACTCTTCCTTGCTGGTGCCACTGCTTCTGCTAGTGGTCTCAAGATGATGGCCATGGAATTGATGACAAGTATGGAGGATGAGGAAGATGGCATGGGCCGCAATGCAGCCACGACCCGTGCTATCCTGCAGACTGTCTACGAGCGACAATTGGAGCGTCTGATGCGAGTTGGGCACACACTTGATGTGGACTGGGCAGATCTCATGGCTCAAGAAGGGCTGCAAATGGTCAATTTTGGGTTTTAGGGCTGGGGACTGGATGGGGTGATTGGGCTTTTCTTATTTTCATTTTTTATCTTTCCTTGGAACTGGCGCATATCTCGTGGGCATACCTGGTGGGCACTGTACTTGTTGATTCGTATCTTTTGCGCTGTATCTGTCTCTATGCATGATTGATGATCGATGTATGTTTATGTATCTAATGTCACTATACGTTTTGGTTTTTTTCCAATCTTGTTTCTGTTTCCATACTATTACTTGTATTACGAGGCCAATCATACGAAGTTCTGGCGCTGTGACTATCACATAGTTCTCGGCACTTGCATCGGCGTCTCGCCCAACTAGACGCCTGATACTCGGGGCTCTTGGGTGCTCTCTAAAATTGCCCATATCGGGTCGAGACCGAGACCGAGACCGATTACGGGCACATTCTGCGATTATTCATCATTGCTTATTCCCCAGCCAGCCACACCGGTTCATGCCCAACGCCACTAACTTGGAAAAGAACAGGGGAAAGAGCCAGTGGCAACGAACCTCTTCGCTAAGATGTGGCAGAGTCAATTTCAAAGGTACGAACTGGATGTAAGCCACGTGATCATGTGAATAATCAAGATAGATACGAACAAGACACCCAAACTAGGAAGATGCATATTCAAACACTACTTCTACCCGGTCGGATCTCCCCCTGGGACACATAATCCAATGCGCCAGAAATAGTCTCGATGTGCATAGAAGAGCTCCCAGAGACGATATCGAGCTGGTATAAGAGACCAGTCCCACCGAAGAGGGTAGAGTGGAGCTGTCGCAGCATGAGCGGCACAGTCCGCTGATCCAGTTCGATCTTCCTGTCCTCCTAGAAGAACTTGGTGTCCCGAGTCCGTACCTTGCTGTCCCTTACGTGAGGGACACGGATCCAAGCGGGTGCTAAAAACATCGAGAGGGATGTTCGCATCCTGATACATATCCAAAAGAAGGGCAGGGTTGTCTGAGCCAGCGATGCATCTGGGATCTTGATTCCCTTGGCATATTTGAAGATCTTCAATAGACGGTGGCAGATCCGGGTTTGAAATGAAGATTTCACCGGCGTGGGCAAAGTAGCCCCATTCTTGGAGCGGGAGGAGGGGGACGGGGTCATTAATGTGTGTCACTCGACGGAATGATCGGGTCACCCGGTCACTACTCGGAGTGTGATAATTTCCCATTTGGAACCGCTTGTCAAGGAACTCCACAAACTCTTGATTACCAACCATCGGCTCCCCGAATGTCGTAACAGATGGGTTCCAGCCCTTTATGTTCATCTCTAACCCTGCCAAAGCGGCCACAGCTCCTCCAAGGGAATGCCCGACTAGGGTTATCTCGTAATTTGGGTATTGCTCACGAGCAGCTATGAGTTGTGGTACCACTGTAGAGCGAGTGTTCAACCACGATGTCATGAATCCAGCATGTACAGTACAGTTCTCGCACTTCTGACCCTGAAGCGGGGTTCCGGATCCATCCTCGGGTTCGTCGTCCATGTCGCCACCTGTGTAAGGTACATAAGCCTGAGGGTATGCCGAGAGATCGATGATAGTGTTGGTGATTGAGTAGGTTCCCCGAAAGGCTAAGATTATACGCTCTGCCCCCGGGGTGTGGGAGACTGCCATGTACCCACATGAGTCGGATAAAAGAATGCCAGTGTTCCAAGTCTAAGGGGTGTGAGGATTTCTTTATCCTGAATACATATATTTACTTGGACCTAAGGGGACTCACAGTAAGTAGCTGTAGGCCTGGGAATTCAGCACAGTGGCTGAGGCACTGGAATGGCTCTTGGACGCCGGTGGTCCCCACACAGTATGCGATGTCTACTAGTCTAGACAGCTCCTCGAGGGAGCTGAATAACTCACTTGAGATCGGCTGTGATTCATTTTGTGGCGATGCAATACAAGCAGACACCCATAAGCAATGTATAAATGCAAGAACTGTATGCTTGAACATGTTGCTTCAGTTGAAGAACTCCGAGGTTGTGAACAAATCAAGGTTCAAGTTGGAGAATCCGGGGGAGCTGCATGATTAAGTAAGCGATCAACCCGAGGTACCTGATTACGCAACGATCAAGTACAGGTAACAGAGAGGCAGGGCAAAGCGCTAATTGAAAGAGAAATGTATGATATATATATGTAGGTACTTTGAACAGTGAGAAGTATGATTTCCTCTCTTCTTTTATTTCTGGATAGACAGGTTCATCTAGCTAATATGACATCTAGGTGGACCAGATCACGACGCGGCCATCAACTCCGCTCGCTATAGGTGCAGCGTTAGTGTGGGGACCTGACCAACAAGAATACGGGGAGGGGATTTCTTACTGCTGAAAGAGCGCACCTGTCCGCCGGCCTCATCGTAGGCACGAAGGGTGTTCACGGTGTTCTGGTGGGTCGATTTCAACTTGGTGTCCACCTGGGACTGGCCTTTGAGATCCATCTGGCGGAACATGTTCAGCGCAGACTCCTCACGAGGGCCCGCGCCAGCTCCAGTCGACTTTTCCAAGGAACCAGCAAGTTGCCATCCGTTCTCATCGCCTTGGAAGCGGAATGGCTCGCAATCCTTTATCGAAGCTGTTAGTGGCCAAACCATCCATGTACATATAAAATAACTTACGTGACCAGCGGCAAGAATTTCATTCTCACCATTCCAAATGAGGCTGTTCAGTGGCAAAAGGCGGGTAGAGATGTTCAGCATGGCCCGAGGTGGTTGCTCCGGTGCGCTGGGGTACACGATTGTGACACTGCTGTCATGTCCAGTGAACGCGAGAGCGTTTCCGCTCGGGGAAAAGGCGACGCCCTGGATCCAGCCAGCAGAGTCATTCAGGTATTCACCACAGATGGTGTTGAAGGGCAGGCGCTCACCCCAAGCGCTGGGCTCGGGGCGCTCATCGATACCCTTGATGAAGCTGGAGAAGACTCGAGCATGCGAGTCGGTGGAACCAGCAGCAAGCAAAACCGAGTTCGGGTGCCAGGCCAGGGTGGTAATGGTACTGCGAATGGGCTTTTTCAGGTGCTTCGAAATCCACCAGTCGTTCTCCTCCTCGAAGTAGCAAACAGCGATGACGCGGGCTCCGGAACCTACGGCGAATTTCTGCTCGGAGGGGGACCATCTGACAAACGTTGCAGCTCGGTTGATTCGAAGCAGGACCAAAGTAGGCTTCCAGCCAGAGGGGGTCTTCTCCCAGACGTAGGCATTGCGATCTAGAAAACGGGTCAGTTCAAAGTACAAGTGAATCCAATGAACAGAGGTCTATACATACCTTGGGAACAAGTCACAATACGACCACTGTTGGGAGCAATATCCACGCTGGTGACAGTCTTCTCATGGCCCTTCAGTTCATCGCTCAATTCGAACTTGTTGCCTGATGTCTGATACAGCTCCACATTGTTTTCACGGGCGACGGCAAGAGTTTGGCGGTCGGATGAGAAGGAGTGGTCTGCAATGGGAGCATGAAAAAGATGGTGAACCTGAGGGGATGCCATTATTGAGAAGTCACGACAGGAGGAGCTCTCTACCGTCGATAGGGCAGAAAAAGAATATAGAGCAGATGTGGAGGTAATCAACAGCTGGCGATGACGCCGCGCGCGGGGGTCCACGGAGGATTATGTCAGATGTCACATGACCGTGTTCGTTTTCTCGCAGTTTAGAGATCCACTCTTACGGGCACGTTATTCCTCCCATTGAGCTTCATTGTCCTTCAGGCGCAGTCCTCGCCTCTTTCCTTCCTTTCCCATGCCAATAGGACAATAGCTAGAACAAAAGAACAACCTCTACTCCTCCACACATCATGGCTTCGAAGTCGGTTCCTCGAGGTCTGGACGCTAAGGCAGTTGGACCTCCCAATCAAACGTGAGCTTACCCTTTGATCGCGATTGTGGCATCTGAAGCTAACTAGATCCGAAGACTCTACTGCACAAACTTACCAGACAAGCTCCGCAAATACGATTTGCGATTGTCACTCTACACTCTGTTCTCCACCTACGGTACCATCCTCGATGTCGTAGCCATGAAGACCAGCAAAATGCGTGGTCAGGCCCATATTGTGTTTAAGGATGTCCAAGCCAGCACGCAGGCGATGCGCGCTCTTCAGGGGTTCGAATTTTTTGGCAAGGAGATGGTGGGTTGCAAGTTCCATGATATCACGATACTTCTCCATGCTAATGGCGAATAGAAAATTGTTTATGGCAAGGGAACTTCGCACGTTATTGGCCGACTCCGTGGTACATACGTTGCGCCCGCCACAGGAGCCGGACCTAGCGGAGTTTCGACTGACCTTCAGAAATCCATCTTCAGTGGCCCACCGGGCGCAGTCCCTGCACGACCGACCGAAGTCAATGGAGAGTCGCACGGAACCAAGCGAGCTCGGGAGGAGGAAAGTGATGAAGAAGAAGCTCCAATGGAGGACGACAGTGATGTTCCCATGGAAGCCTCATCTGATGAAGAGGATTAAAGGGTGTTCAGGTGTTCCAGGGGAAAGAGCCCAACTGGGGCCGGTGGGGAAGCGAGCACAAACTCCCGTTTGAAGTGTTCTTTTTGTTTTTTTGCCCTATTACCTGTATTTCCTGAATCGAGCCTCAGGATAGTCCGGCACTATCAGAGGCAACCAGCTCGCGTGGGATGTGCAGGTTCACACAATGACCTACGAGACCGAGCCAGATGAGAAGATACGTCCCAGCAGTGGCGCTCTGAGCGTCTGTCACCTGCGCCATGGCGTCGGCTGTGTTGCATGGGTGAACAAAGAAGGCCGGAGCGCCCGAATCTGGATGATACTACGAAGACATGAGCTCCTGGTCGGTGTTCACAAGCAAGAGCACCCTTACACCAAAGCTGATCCCACCCATGATTCCCACACTCTTCAATTCCTTTTGGTATTGTTCCGGGACCACATACCGATAGACGGCCTCTAGCCCCACCGGGCCATTATAATGGTGCCACCGCAGTGCAAAATATAACACAGGGACCTGATATGTGGGGGACAACACAATATCATAATCTACCTGTAATTTTGGATTGAGTCCGGTACGAACCAGCGCCTCCTGTGTAGAACATTAGACCTGTAAACGTCGATCACTCCTTTATCAGGGAGGGGGGGAAAGCATTGCCGACCGGATCGTCCTCCTCTAACCGGATCATGTAAGCCTCATGTGGATCTACCTGGATGGGGTCGGTCTGGACATCCATGTATTTTGTTATGCGAAGACTAGAACTTGTCTAGAAACCATATAATACTCTACGTCAGATGTGGGATTCTATCATACTTCCAGAAAGGTCATTGGGAAAGTATTTGCCAATATGCACCAGGCAAGGAGAGGGGGAGGTAGAGCTCATACCTGTATGACAAGTCGAGTGAACCAACCAGCTTGGGCTGCAGTGCAGCGATCGGCCAGATCTCGACACGCGCTCTCGAACTCGGCCGGCAGTAGGAATGGAAAGGCGGACAGTGCCATCCTGAGAACCCCACTAACGTCCGGTTGCAGGTTTTGGGGGCGACTGTGGTGGGGGAAAAGAGGGGGAATTGTGGGTTGATTATATAGAATGCAGTAAAGGAGGGATTCCGTGGCTGAAGACGGGAGACAATGGAGTTGTATCAGGTTTTATGGGATGAAGGCGGGTAAGTCATTGGGTCTGATAAGGTCCGAGGTACGTGGCGGATCATAGTCCAGCACTAGCAAAGCCAAGTACCCAGGACTTGTGCCAGCACCCGCTTGCGGCTAAGGCCGAACCAATCATCTGACCGGAGCAAGCCAGGTCTACTATAGCTGTTCCGCTTGCAGTACTTTGGTCTTTCCTTGTTTCTTTTATGTTTTCGACTTGCTGCATTGCTTCTCCTTTTCTTTTACTTTCGCCCTAATCTTAAAGGCCCTTCGTCAATCTGGGCCCCATTCACCGAAGTCTACTCCGGAAGTAGCAATCAATCTCAGGGGGAAAAACGAAAAGACAAACCAAAAAAAAAAAAAACACAATAAGAACATAGGAAACACGAGCAAATACGAGAATTCCCAATCGCAACCTGGTCACGAAACAACTACAGAAGGGAAACAAGAAGATCCCTCTTGACGTAACCTGCCTTCTCTTTGTCCCTCCCGGGCCAACCGATCTGGGGCTCATCCAATCTGAAACATCATCCACTTCCCATCATTTCCGTGCGGAGGTCCTTCAGCCGCCAATCGTACGCTCAATTCCCAACCCAACGGGGCGTACGAGCTGGGGCTCGGATTGATTCCTAATCGTTGGCTTGACGTCACTCTGGTCCTTGCGATCTATAGGACCCTCACGCGTGGATCATCCCCCCGCTCTGATCAAGTCTGTATATTACCCCGGTCATCACCCCCATGTGGCGCTGGTCCCTGTAAAGCCCAAGTCCGGGGAGAGAAAAAGAACGCACCATTGAAGAACCATGGGCAATCTCCAATCCACCTCGACTAAGAACGACAACCGCCGTTCCAACCGCCTTTCCAAACCTTTGACCAGAAAGTTCACCTTCAGCTCCCCACATCTGTCCCGCTCGGAAGATGAACCTCCAGAGCTAGCTACCGGGTTAATTGGATGGCAGAACCCATGGGTGGGCTCAACCATCTCGGAGGTGAAGAACGTCCCCGATTCAGGAACGAGCGAGGTGACCACTCCGATCGAGCCAGTACCAGCTTCCTTAGAGCCAGGGACAACGAGAAGATCTGTCTCACCTCGTGGTACTCTGCCACCACGCTCCAGCTCTTTTTCAGCCGCCTCGGTGGGTAAAAGAGCCAGCCAACCCGTGATGTCGCCGACTTCCTCATTATCAATTGCGCCAGAGCAGCCAAGGAGGGCGAACTCGGTTCAAATCAGTCTCCAAAGACAGCGAAGTGTCGTCTATGATAATGCCATGGAAGATGCAGCGTCTTCTAACACCCATTTCTTAGTGGGCAATCAACGTTTCTCATTAACCCGTCGACGGTCTTTACTGACACGCCCTGGGGTGGCAACGCGACGGACCACGGGTGCAATTCGACGCATGCCATCACCAATTGGGGAACCAGAGATGGATGAATCAGAGTCTACTCTTGCAAACTGGCGTCTACCCCCGCGACAGAGACCCCCGCTTGCGTCTGCACCACCGGCCCGGCCCACAAGTCCGGCAGATGCTCGGTACACTCAACTTGGAGCGCTGAAGCTTGGCTCTCTGCGGGTAGTCAATGGTTCTGCATCCCCATGCCCGAGTGAACGTGTTCCACTTAACCGAGCTCCGGGGCTTGGCCTGGAGGCTATCCAGACGACGTGTCCAGCGACACTGGAGCCATGCTCAGTGTCCGACATGAAAAGGTCAGATGATGCTCCAGGGAGCCCATTTTCCTTCGAGAAATCTCCTATAATCGCGGTGCCTCCGCGGGGGAAGACCATGCTCAGAGAGCTGGAAGATGAGGGAATTGCCATGTGTGATGAGAGCCAGCTAGAGAAGGTCCCCACGGAAATTGGATTGGATCGAAGCACATCACGATCCCTCAACAAATCCGACAGTGGCTATAGTTCCGCCACTTCTCTTCGCTCGATTCAAGGAAGCCGAACGAGGACGTCTTTCGACTCTCAGACATCGGTGTCCTGCGCTACGGATGAGAAGATCCAGCTCCATCTCGGCCGGAAAGAAAGATCTCATGGAAATTACTCTCGGCCACGTCCTATGTCTAATCGCTGGTATGATAACAATGGCGTCAATGCGCAAGTGCGTCTTGCAACGAGAACACGCCGGTCTACGCTGTGCGCACCTCGATACACAGAATACCCCGCCCAGAAGGATCTCGCGATGGAGTCAAGCATTTCTCCATATCCATTTGTTTTCCTGGAAGAGCAGGCGGCTTCCAACAGAGGGTCTTTCTACGTGGATCGTTACTCCGTCACGGCACTTGAAGCTTCATGTAGCTCAAGCTCATCGGTCACGCTGGATACAACAAGCAGCTCTCAACAGTCGGTTAGCACAGAGATACAATCCCGGATATACCGATCTGCGTCCGAGCAGCGTCTCCGCGGAAACGGAAAGTACAACACAGGGGCCTCGCACTCCCGATCCCGAAGCCAACGAAGCGGTCGAGTGTGGTGCCAAAGACCTGGCATTGAGGTGCCGCCTCTGCCAACGATCTTGTCTCCAGATCATATTCTAGTTGGAGATGGAAATGACAGCGAATTCCCTCTCATTGAGTCCCGAGGCCGGCCCCGCAGCCGTAGCCATGACCACCGGCCTCGCAAGCTAACGAAAGCGCGTCCACGGCCTGATGTTCATATGACGACTTCTCCTTTTGCACTTGGCTAATACAGGAATGCCGGTATACTTTTCTTCCTCTTTCTCATCCTCTTCTTCTTGTTCTTCTTTTTTTTTTAATTCTTTTTTTGGAGGGCGGGTTTATCTTATTTGAAGGGTTCTATAAAAGTTGGTGTCAAGCGTTAGATTCGAATTCTTAAGGTGCTTTGGATGGAGTCTGCTGAATTGGAATGGATATACCCTCGTTTGATTTGCCATTCCAGGCTTGATATACGGGCGTTTTGAATTATTCTCATTGGGACATGTCAGTGTGGTTTAACGACGATCTTAATGTGAAAATCGAATTTTGCTTTTGATCCTGCACCGCATCTGCAGTTTAGAGTTGCCAGCTCGCAATCTCTTCACCGCGTGGCCCAGCCTCGAAGTAAGGGAGATACAGAGTACGGGACTTACACGCTGTTGATACATCACATTATGGGAATTGGGACGTATACGTAAGCTCCGGAAAGCTTCACGCTCAATCCAATATGATTCATGAACGATATCTTAGCGTAGTAGATAGCTAAATATACTCCCAAGCCTACCACAAGAGATTTTTAGGCCGATGTAGATCATCGCCAAGACTTAGCTACCCTTTACTCTAGAAAAAGACGCCCTTTCCGAGGTGCATTTACTCCGTACCTGTCGACGCCAAATTGAATATGCTGGGATCCACCCCATTGACCGCTTCAACGCCCTCGCTTCGGTCTAGGTGGCTTGCTTAAGGTTATATGAAGGATTTATTATTTGAAATTGTATCTTCAAATAGGTTTGCTCGACCGCCATAACTATAGCTTAGTTCTACAATTTTAATATCTTGAAACGAGGCGTGCTTTAGCGTACCTCAAAAGCTCCTTGAAGAAATCCGAGCACGAGCTTAGATGTACAAGGGCCAGAGGCTCAATTTGTGTAGGTAGGGATTTTTTTAATTTCTTTTCTTTTTTACTCAGCTCCCTACAGAGGACCCGGGCCAAAGCTCTAGGTGACCAGATTAAAGGGTGAATATCCAATCTATATGTCTTGAGAAGGCCACCTGAAGATCTATCTTAAGGCTCATCGGGACCGAATTGTACCACAGAACGGGTAATTTGCTTTGCAATTGTTCAAAATCCATGGAATTCTTCATGTAGGTAACTATCACCGGGAAAAACCACCCGAAACGATATTAGTTGGTTTGACGGCCATATCCCCTAATTCTCTCCGCGAATGCCCAGCTCTGTCCTTCGATTTGCTCATCCTCCTTGAGATCAATGCCCTCCTTGGTAATGACTGCTATCGAATATTTGTCGATACTGCGGGCATCACGGTAGAAGAGGACCTTCAAACAGTCCTTCAAGGCTGACACTGCCTCCTCCCGGGTGATTTCTTCAATGGGCATCTCTTCAGGGAACCGTCTTCGCAGGATGGGAACGGCAAGATGGGCACCGAACCCAGTGGCCAGGTGAGGAGCGGAGAAGGTTGTGCCCAGGAGATCCGCTGAACTGAGGAATGGCTTGCCATCTACGTCGAAGCCTGCAACAAGGACATGGTTCCACAATGGGTTGAACTCGGAGCGCCGCTTATAGAAGACCTTGGCGAGGTAAGTGTGCAGGTTCTTGGCATTGAGCATGTTGCCATGGGTTGAGTAGTTCTCTCGGATATCGATGGATTCGAGCAAACGATCAATGTATTGCATGTCGGACACATCTCCACCGAAGCCGACAACGGCGTTGTCGCCGAAGACTCGCAGACGTTTAACATCAGTGAAGCGTGCCAGGGATCCGTAAGAAGCTAAAATTTGATGAAACATGTCAGGAATTTGATCTCGCGATCTGAGCTGGGATGCTGGGGGTCGCGTACCTAGGTTGTCGGTGGCCAGAACGACACCACCGTTAAACTTCACACCAATGACGGACGTTCCCGTCACCGCCGGCGACGAGGTGTGTGTCTTAGGACCCGTGGTCTGAAGATATGTGGGATCGTAGGCGCCGTAAACATCGTTCCTGGGCTGTTACGTGCTGTTAGCGACGAAGTGGACGGGTTCATGGCTGGGAGTCCTTACTCGACCCCAAGTTCCCGGGAAGTGGTCCATTATCAATCAAGAAGGTCTGAGAAATATTTGGGAAAAGAAAAGATCCGAGTCCAAAGCAAATTTAAACACGAAGATGAAGAGGGTGCAGCGTAGGGATTGAACGATGACGATGCACGGAGCTTAGGCAGGCGAAGCTGACGGAGCTCTGGATGACTAAGCACTGGATTCGCAAAGTAACTATTACAGGGCCCAACTTCTAGTAGAGGACCCAGTATCTAATGGACTCCGAACCCCTTGGATGGTGTGTGGAACTGATAGTATGTTTTGAAATTGATTTTATAGAATATACCATATGCACCTCCTCAACTATTGCAGAGGCTCGCGATATCTGACCCAATCGAGTTCGTCGTATTCGCTTGCTGCCCGAGCCCCGAGGCACCTAAACCCATGTTCATGGGTCTTCTTATTGGCTAACCAAAGTAGTAGTATGCTCAGCCTCGCAAAAGCTTCGTATCCGCACAGCATTCCAGTCGATCAGGGGACATGGACATAAATATGATCCTATTGCCCAGTGCCAATCTTCGCCAAACTCCGTTCACGAACTGCACATACTGTATACCATGGCCTCAAATTTGATTAAGTCCGAGTCGATTCAATCTACCCATCCAGAACTAGACGAGCAGGATTCATCTCGTCTTTACATCATCTACCGTAAAAGGTGGAAACGGCACTATGAAGTCAAATCTGCAGCAGACCAACTTTTATACTTCGGGGAGGTATCCAATTTCAAGCACGCTAAGCCTGACCTCACCATACATCGAGGAACCAGCGCCGATGCACCTGTGGTGGCAGCGAGCAAACTCCTCAAGCTCTCCGGTGATTTCAAGCTGGGTTTAGGAGACCCCGACGATGTGAACAATGTCCAGTGGGAGGACATGACCAGGGAATCTTGGGTGCACCAAACGTATCGCTTTGAAGTGAACATGTCCAGTGAGTCTGGGGGCACCCACGGGCAACGGCGAGCCTTACTCTGGAAGCGAACACGGTCGGTAGGAGTCGATGGTTCAACACCATCGTGGAGTTCTCGGAATTTCAAGCTGGTTGATGAGATAAGCGGTGACCTGGTGGCGGTATTCACAAGCAAAAGGTCTATCGGCCAATGTGGAAGATTGCAGATCATGGAGGACCATGGGCAGTGGTTTGATACGTTGATCTTGCTCTCATATATGAGCCTGTATGAAAGATTTGAGCGCCATAACAGGCAAGCTGCTGCCGCAGCTGGAGGGTCATGAAAGGGTCATCCTCCTACACTATGTACAATAGCCATCTGTCTGTTCTTGTAATCTCATTTTTGAGATTCTGGCCTTCTCTTCAGATCCAAAATCCTACCAATAGCTTATCAAAGGTCCATTCTCGATGTTTCTGAGGCTTGAAACCCCGGCAAGCCCGGGCTGTAGGGAAACAATCCGACTGCATGGAGTGGTAGAGGGTACCAGTAGTCGTAGTCGCAAGACCCGGGCGTGTTTACTGAGCCTGCAGATTTATCGAAGACTCAAGCAGGTCCGAATTTTACGGAGGACATTGTTCTCGAAGCCAACATCGATCTGCTCGCTCACGGGTTGCCTTTTCTCTTGGTCTCCGCGCTGGGAGCGAATTGCTGTGTAGGAGAACTGGGGACAAATTCAATGGAAGATCTTTGTCCTGATGTTTTCTTATCGTCCATCTTTTGCCGTGCTTCCTGCTGGGCTCGGAGGAGCTCTTCCTTGAACGCCCAAGAGGGTAGGGTGTAAGTATTCCAGAGTTCCACTGGTAAGGACGTATTATACTGTGTTTGCTCATCAATCCCGGCATGTTCCATCATCTTGATCAATAAGCTCGGGTTTTTCAAAGACGATGAGCTTGCTAGCTTTGCATTGAAATGGACGCCCTGTTTTTTGAGGGAGAGGAAATGCTCGAACTTGGCATTTGCGGCAGGGTCGGGAGATCCTGGCGGGGATAGAGGGATGTCCAAGTTAGGGACTGGAGGGAGTGTTAAGTCCTGGATCAAAGCCCGTGATGCTGAAAAGGGAGAAGTGCTGCCGCCTGCTGAACGCTCGTCCGGGAATGAAGTTGTGTTCATAGATGCCGGGCCTAGCACAGGACCATTTGGAACTTTATTGTTGGTGCTTGGACCGATTTGACTTGGAGTATCCTCGATTGCATTCAGGTCTAGTTGAATTGGAGGCCCAAATTAGTTTCGAAATCAATAGCTTTTGAATTCCTACTGGAATCACCTTTGACCTGATTGGCTTGCGAACCGTCGAGAGCTTGTATCTTTTGCTATTCATAAGAACATTAGTTCAGCCGTTCGATGCAAGACAGTAGTATAGCCCTAACCTGATGTGCAGGAGTCTTGGCCTCAACTTCTTCCTCACTGCTGCTGTCATACGCAACGAGACCGAGCATGATATGGCCTATATCTTAAACTTCCCTGAAAGGGGTAGTTTGCTTATAATTGAGGTGGGTATGCAGAATCAGAAAGAACTGCTTGTAGAACGTCGCAATTCTCTCACGAAATTCTCTCAAGTGTATTCGCGTACTATTCAGAGTAAACCTTCCGAGGTTGACAAGTTGATGAGAGACCGCCTGGAGCTGGGTGTTACATAAGCGAAAGGCAGCTGCGGCATCGCGTCAGACATCTTAGAAGATTGACCAGCTTTCTCCTCTCCTCAAATCCAACTCTCAACTGATTATTGACTACTCTCGCCCTTTTTACTGCTTCCGAATCCTCTTTTGCAACAGATTCTTATTCCGAATACATCTTATTCTTCACAATGACGTCGCTTCTGGGTCACCCAGCTGGTGGTGAGGGTATCGGCTACTCCTTCTCCCAACCAACAGCTGCCCCTGTCAAGCAACATGGATTTTACCCGTAAGAGATCCATTGATCTTGACTGTCTATGAATATTTGAAGCTCATGATACTATTAGATACACCGATAACGGTGGTTCGACCCTGGGCATCACTGGATCTGACTTCGCGATCCTTGCTGGCGACACCCGCTCTACATCAGGCTACAACATCAACTCTCGGATGGTTCCCAAGGTTTTCAAGATCGGTGGTGATGATGAGACTGGCGAGGGAGCTCACATTGTCCTATCTGTGGTCGGTTTCGCTGCGGATGGTAATGCCCTAAAGGAACGACTGGACGCCGTGGTGAAGATGTACAAGTACCAGCATGGAAAGCCCATGTCTGTTTCCGCGTGCGCACAGCGGTTGTCGACAATCCTATACCAAAAGCGATTCTTCCCCTACTACGTAACCGCCATCTTGAGCGGTCTGGACGAGGAAGGCAAGGGCGCTCTGTACAGCTATGACCCCGTGGGCTCATACGAACGGGAGCAATGCCGGGCGGCCGGTGCAGCAGCAAGCTTGATCATGCCCTTCCTGGACAACCAGGTCAACTTCAAGAATCAATACATTCCTGGCAGCGGAGAAGGACACGCACTGGAGCAAAAGAAGGCTGAGCCTCTGCCCCAAGCGACGGTCGAGCAATTGGTGCGGGATGCATTTACAAGTGCGGTGGAGCGGCATATCGAGGTCGGTGATCACTTGCAAATGATGATCATCACCCGGGATGGAATCCAGGAAGTCTTCCATCCGTTGAAGAAGGATTAGAATTAAGTTTCCCTTTCTGTCTATGACACCTTTCTAACATGAGAATATGGACTCCTTTTTGAAATCCCTTTTTTGTTCATTTGTACTCAAGGTAACATAAACATAAGTAACTTTCCGTAAATGGAGCTCTTGAACATCGTCACTCGGATATAGTATCTTTTTAGAAAGCCCACACTTGAAATGCACCAAAACGCCCATACCATGCCAAGGAGAATTTGAAAGAGAGTATGAAATCAGAAACGCTCCTTCATGCGAGAAGCCACCGTTCGGAGGTTACCGTAAACCTTGCCCTATTTATGAGTTAGAAATTTGCTCCATCATGCCTCTGTATGTGATACAAACTCACCGGAGGGCTACCCAGGATCAGGCTAACAATGGCCTCTCGTGCAATGTGAATGTTCTTGAAACCACCAAGAATGTGGATTTTAGCATCAGCCAGCACAACTCGGGTCCGACTGGCGTTTTCAATGGCAAACTTGGTCTTTCCATCCTTGCCAGCAATTCGGCCAATGGCACGACCCAGATGCTCTCCATTCAGCGTCTTCACATCCTTGATCTCAAAGGTCTCGATATACAGATCATCCAGTCGTAGAAGAGCAATCGCATCGTCAATATCAAATCCGAGGGTGAACGCCTTGACGAAGTCTGCACCCTTCTGCAGCGCACCGACGTCGGTCGTGAACTTGGAGGTCCGCAACTCGACTGCGCGGCTTTTCACATTCATGCGCACCTGCAACTTCAAGTGCTCGACAATGGGAGGGCAGATTTTGGTCCAGTTCGCTTTGAGGGGTGTCATGCGGTGAGGTGGAACGGGAACCTTGCGAGTTTCGACCCGGTAGGCGGTGCTGGTTTCCTTTGCGGGAGTGAAGACGGGGCGGCCCTCTTCATCGATGCGCATTTCGTTGTCTTCGGGCGAATTTTCCACAGGCTTGGACACATCTAGGTCCGCCTGGGCATCAATTAGAACCTCGTCATCCTGGTCTTATCAATGGAGTTAGCGCATCTCAGAAGATCTCAAACTATGCTACCTAGGCAATAACCCACCAGGAAACTGAGCTACTGGAACTCCTGTAGGTTCCACCGGTTGAAGAATAGCAGTAGGGGCAGGCATTGTGTGTGAATAGTTGGTGTGTGTAAGACCAGAAAAAAATGATGAGAGTCTGTTATCGCAAAATTTATCGCCCCTCTACCAACAGAAGTTGTGGGCGGCCCGATTTTTCCCTGTGCAAACAGCACAAACAGCGGATGATTTCATCTTTCCCAGTTCCAGTTTCAACTCCAAGTTACGAAAGCTCTCTAGCTATCCTTTTCCTTACTTTCCCACAGCCCCTCGCAGGATGTGAAGATAGAGATGTCCGCCAACTTTGGACGTCGGCTTTACACCCAATTTCGGGAATCGGCCTATCCATTCCTAGGCCGCATACCAAATCGCATTTCCGCCGCCGACGCCTCTTCAAGGAAGCTTCTCGACTCGTTCGTGGCTGGTCCGCGGCGCTTGTCCACTCCAGTGAAATCAACCCAACTGACTAGAGGATTTGCTTCCGGTAGCTTTCTCGTTTTCGCCTCTCCCAGCTCCACTGCGGCAGAAACAAGTGCAGCGTGCATCATAACCTCTAAAACTATATCACCACATTATCTTTGGAAACGAGCTCTTCACACACCAAAAAATGGCCAACATAATGGAGGATCCTTCGACAATCATCAGGCCCCAAAGGCCGATGATCCTTCTCCAAGTATCCAAAACACCGCTAATCACACTCAAAATTCCTCTCCGAAGCTGCAAGCGCATGATCCGCATCCCGCACGTCCCTCTAATCGCCATTTAATGGATCGCCTACCACATATCCCACACTTACACCGACCAACAAAAGAAGAGCTTTTGGCGGCAGCAACTGGATTTTGGTCGCGTCTCAAAGTGCGATTTAAGTGGTTCTCGATACGAAGTGTACGGCCCTTCAACCTCGATGAAATAACAGCACTCTTCTCCTGGGTTCTCCTAGGTCATGTTGTATGGGTCGTAGTGGGAACAACCACATTCTTCTCCCTTCTGATCTTAGCCATAAATACCGTCTTCGCGCAAGGTATGTCGATAATCTTTATCACTGTTTGAAGGTTCAGGTGCTAACCAGATCTCAGAAACGTTGGCAGGATGGGTAGGCAATTACTTGACCAAGTCCTCTGGCGTCCAGGTGGTGTTTGAGTCTGCCATTGTGCCCAAGTGGAAAAATGGTGTAATTACTTTCAAGAACGTTTTTGTTTCGAGGCGGCCAGGCCAAGGTACAGGCCATGTCAGTAAAGGTTCTTCAAAGACCGCCGCCGCTGCCGCTGCCGCCGCCGCCCGAGGTGAAACCGGACTCGAGGATCCACTCGCGTTTGAAGAAGAAGACACCAATTACACACAGTTTGACGTATCCCTAGAAACCGTCAATGTGACGCTGTCATTTACCAAGTGGCTGAATGGAAAGGGTCCGCTGCGGGATGTTGAAGTCAAGGGAATCCGAGGTGTTATCGATCGCCGGCATGTTTTCTGGCCGGAAGATGATCTCGATCCCAAGTCCTACCGACATGAGCATCACCCAGGCGATTTCGAAATTGATTCGTTCAAGATGCACGATGTATTGGTGACTGTCTATCAACCCGACAACTTCCGACCATTTTCTATCAGTATCTTCTCTTGTGACCTTCCCCAGCTGCGGAAGCAGTGGTTATTCTATGACTTCTTGTCGGCGAATATGATGTCGGGTTCCTTTGATAATTCGCTATTCACTATTCACCCCCGTCAGACCAATGGCTTTACAGGAGGCCGATGGGATGAAGGTACAGAGGAAGATGGCAAATCCAGCCCTTGGAAAAAGCACAGCAGGATTCGTGTTGATGGACTCAATGTCGATCATCTGAATCGCGGCGTCCAAGGTCCATTCTCGTGGATCCATGAAGGCACCGTGGACATTGTGGCCGACATCATGTTCCCTGCTGAAAATGATGAGAGCATTGCGAAGGTGATGGCAGATTTCTATGATCGACTGGAGGCCACCGTCACCTCCAATCAGGATTCAGACTCCGTGCGTCAGCACGCGGATGTCGATCTCGATGACGTTTCCGATGCCGACAAGCGGTTCCTCATGATGGACCTACGAGTTCAGATGAACAACGTTCGTGCCGCTGTTCCAATATTCACCCGAGACCTCTCTTATATCAACAACGCCCTCATTCGCCCAATTGTCGCGTACATCAACTCAAAGCGTACCTTCATTCCCATCAATTGCCGTCTCGTCAAGCGTGCTGGTGATTTTGATGGCAGCTGGACCATCTTTGACAGTGGGCTAATGGACGATCTGTCCGCTGCTGTAAGTCTAATTTCCCTCGCCCTTATTTTTGTTATTTTTGTTATTTTTCCGGGGGCATTAAACTAACTTATCTCCTTCAGACCTACGATGCCTTTGCTCGGGACGTCGTGGATGACCAAGCCCGCAAACGGCGATTCAAGAAAGTTGGATTCTGGTCTCTCCAGCTGGCCGCACAAGCCATCTTCATGGGGATGGCGGGCAATATCGCATGATTTTATGTACATTTCAATGTCCACTCATTCTAGACCGGTATTATTTGGCGTTCTGGGGAGTCTTGATCTCTTTACCCCATGTATCATAGCCACTACGACAGGGTTGCATTATGTGGAGTCTGGGGTATTCCCACGGTTTTCGTTATTGCTATTGTGTTCCCTTCTCATACTTTGGTTATGGGGGTTTAACTTGACTAGTCCATTTGTCCTACCTGTATTATATTGGAAAATCTTCTATAGACTTGATCTAGTAGTGTCTTACTTCTTGTCCGTATTTGTAAGGATCCTAGGATGTATACCTTTGATGTCTAGAGTAGCATGAATGTTATGAGGCATACCCAAGCTTTACCTATAGATCTCTACTGGGCCAGCCACGATGGTATAGACCGTCGGATAACGCTTGGTTCGGAAACCTCCACGTTCATTGTCTCCACGGGGACAAAAAGTATATATCTCGTTTCTGTGCACAGTTGTTTCGAGATTTGAGATCGCCTACTAAGGGTATATACTTCTATGCTGTACACCCTGGTTCCCAATTCATTGTATTTCAAGCGAGATGAGCCCCAGTGAGTCACGGATCACCCTACGGTCCTGATGGGTTTCTAGCTGTCATCAGGGATCGTCGTGGGCTCCACCAAACATCACCAGCAATTGAGCCCTTCTCCCCCTTTTTCTCTAATTTCCGCATTTCTTCTCTCTCCCCACCTTCAAAATATTATTTTTATTTTATTTGATATCTTTGAACAGAAAGATCCAGATCCTAGTGATTCAGTCTTCTCATTATATTCTTGGTTTTGAAAGGGACCTTTCATCTAAGACATCTCTACTTCTTGAACCCCTTTCTCGCGCTTTTATTAAGCTTCCAAGCTTCCGGGGACCCGCCCTCTCCCACTCGGGTCTTTGCCCCCCAAACTCCCCAACCCCTCTGATGCTGATCCCTTTGCGAAACGATGTCCCAGTGGCGAGGCAGTGAGGACGACGCGCCAGGTTCTAAGAATCAATCTGCTCAATACCCGCCTCCTAACGGCCTTATTCCCCGGGACTACCTAGGCGCGCGATCTGAAGTGGCTTCGCGCCCAGGCGCTCCTGGCTCTCGGCATATTTCACCATCACCACTGCACACAACCTCTCTCCCGAACCCACGCCTGCAAGATTCTCCCTCACAGAGTCCGCTGTCGCCCCGGTCTAGCGCCAATACTTCGCCGTCCCAAACTCGGTCGCCTATATCCCGTATAGCCAATGCACCATTTCCAGCGCCTCCCTCGAATCCGGTTCATAATTTCTCCCCATCACCAGATATGATGGGCATGGAGTCGGGCAACATTTCAAGACCCAGTGAAGGCAGTATTTCCAAAGTGCCTGGTGCGGCCGAGCCTGATCGTTCCGCTTCCTCATCCGTGAGCTCTATACTGTCGGCACCCGGCGATCGTTCGACCCACCGCATCATGCCGCGCACGTCGTCCATTGATTCTGCGATCTCGTCCTTGTCCTCTGCTTCCCAAAAATCTACCTTTGATGCCAATGCATTAAGTCCAGCGGACATTAGCCATCTCATCAATGCAGCCGGTTCGGCGGAGGCTGTTATTGTACACCTCCTGCGAGAGAAACACCAAGCAGCCTCCCAGAACTCGCAACTTTGGAAACTAGTGGATAAACAAAGGACGCTCATATTAGGTCTTAATAAGGACCTTGAACGCGCCTTCAACGAGAAGGAAAAGTACAAGAAAAAACTGAAAGAGCTTCAAGACTACGCACCTCCACTGCCAACTGCGGATCCTGCAAATTCCCCGACTGGATTAGCTGGAGCGGCGCATCCTCAGCAAACCACACCTGGACTGATTGGCGAGCAACAGGCCGACAGGCAACAGGTCCCACAGCCGACCATTGTCCCCACCCAAGCCGCATCCCGAATGCCACTTGAAGGCACCGATCTGAGTCCCACTAGCAACTTGTCATCTCCGGTAGGAAGCGATGGACAGAAACTCCCACACCCGAGTCGCAAGCCTCCGCCGGCGCCTCTAGACCTACGACTGCCAAATGATAATATTCGCAAAGTGCACGGGGATCCAGATTCGGAATCCGATTACGGAGATTCCCAGGAGGAAAGATCAAGCTTAGATCGTGGAAGAAGAAAGACCCGAGAGGAAGATGATCGAGACCGGGAGACCACCATCAAGAAAGAAATAGATCCTCAGGGATCGATGAGTACGGTCAAATTCGGATCGTCTCATTCCTCCCGGGATACGGCCACGTCTGCTAGCCCAGCAACTATTCCCCGTGAGCGTGCCACGAGATCGCCACCAAATGTCGGGGCATCTGGCTCTGTCGGTTCCATGCTCAACTCTCGCGCAAATTCTTCCATTCCAAATGGACGCCCGAGCTTCCCTAACCCTAAGAGCCCCGGGTTACCATTAAGCCCGAGGCCAGAGGATCGACCTCTCGGTTCTCCTTTGCCCCGCATGCCTCGAGACATTAATTCCATGGCGAGCCAGTCCATGACTGCAGGCACGAACCTTCCTGGTTTGCCCCTGTCTCCCAGAGCTGCCAATTACCCAGCTCAATTTGCCCCAATCCCAACAATCGATTCTGCTGTGAAGATAGACAGCCCCAGATCCCCGCGATCTCTCAGATCCACTATCTACCAGGGATTGGTGTCGGATGAGTACCCTGGCTTATTGTTGCCACCAAACGCTCTCCCTGTGATTCAAGTTCAAGTATCTTCTTCCCGACTTCGACCCTCCAGGAATAGTTATATGGCCCCAAAGCCGCTGGAAGAGGAGCCCGTATTTACTCTGAGTGTGATATCTCGGGCTGAGATGTCGGAACTATGGCGAGTTGAAAAAGTCATTGCGTCTCTCCCTCAGCTAGATCACCAAATCCGCCAATTGGTCGCATTCTCAGGGAAATTACCAGACCGCAGCATTTTTAGTGGACACTCCCCTGCTAAAGTAGATGCCCGTCGGGCTGCGTTGAATGCATACTTTGATAGTCTGTTGGATACACCAATGGATGAAAAAGCGGCCTTGGTCATCTGTCATTTTCTCACAAACGATGCTATCGAGCCACGAGATGACGAGACCAGTCTACTTAAAGGAAATGGCTCGACGCAGCCTGATGTGCCTCGTGGGTCTGATGGAAGGCCTCGAAAAGAAGGCTACCTAACGAAACGAGGCAAGAACTTCGGCGGTTGGAAAGCGCGATACTTTGTCCTTCATGGACCTGAGTTGAAATACTTTGAGTCGCCTGGTGGTCCTCACATGGGTACCATCAAGCTTCACCATGCCCAGATTGGCAAGCAGTCACAGAATGCTAGCAGTCAGACTAATTCTCCCCCTGGGCCAGATGAGGATGCCGACAATCAGTATCGCCATGCTTTCCTTGTTTTGGAGCCCAAAAGGAAAGACTCCTCGGCCCTTGTCCGACATGTGCTGTGTGCTGAGAGTGACGACGAGCGTGATAGATGGGTCGAGGCTCTGATGGAGTACGTCGAGAGTCCTTCCTCAGACAATGATAGCCGTGGCAGTGCATCTACCAAGAGCCAGCAGCAAATTCAGACAAGACAACAGCAGCCTTCAGGCAATGGCAGTAAACCTAGGTCGTTACCCAACAGCGGTAGCAGAAAGCCAATTAGAAGCGTTGAAAGTCCTGACCAGGAAGCTGCGGCCTCAGTCCAGGGATTCAGCTTCGATGACACCATAGCGGCAGAGCCTCCGATCCTTGGTTCCTCTCTTGAACAGGCTCCTCGTTCGCCACGTATCCCGGCTGCGCTCTCAACGGATTTCCGAGACCTTAGCCAATCTCCCATCGAGCACTCCTTGCAATCACCCAAGACTATATCTGGGCCTACCAATGGAGCTGTGATCCAGGATGTTGGAGCCTGGGGCAACAAAACTACAATGTCCACCAAGGAAAAGAAACGCAGCATCTGGGGCTTCCGCACCCGGTCTTCCTTTGATCTGTCATCGCAGGCCCCAGCCGTCAATGAACCAGGCGCAGCAAGTAACAGCATCCAGGCAGAACGCAAAGACCCTGTCAGACCTGTATTCGGGATTCCTTTGGCAGAGGCAGTTCAGTACTGTGGTCCACTTGGAGTGGATGTGGAATTGCCGGCTGTTGTATATCGCTGTATCGAATACTTGCATTCCAAGGGTGCAGCGTTAGAAGAAGGAATTTTCCGTTTGAGCGGTTCTAATGTTGTGATCAAGGCCTTGAAGGAACGATTTAACAACGAGGGTGACGTGGATTTCGTTGGCGGGGATCAGTATTACGATGTTCACGCCGTTGCCTCTCTCTTCAAGCAATATCTTCGGGAACTCCCAACGACGGTGCTTACTCGAGAGCTTCATCTAGACTTTCTACGGGTTCTTGGTATGTCTCCTCCACCCACCCTTTCACAGTCTTAGTGGAAAAACTGGCTAATATTTGTGTCTTCTCTCTTGAAACAGAGCTCGATGACCGCCAAAATAAAATCACAGCCTTCCACGGTCTGGTCAGCCGGTTACCTAGGCCGAACCTGGTGCTACTACGAGCCTTGTCGCTGTTCCTGATTGAGATCGTCAACAATTCCGACGTGAACAAGATGACTGTTCGAAATGTTGGCATTGTTTTTGCTCCGACTCTTAACATTCCTGCACCCGTGTTTTCGATGTTCCTCACGGATTTCGATAGCATCTTTGGTGACATCGGTTCTGGCCCAGGCCCAGCAATTGAATTAACAGTGGACAATAGCCTTTGCCCGGACGACGTTCGCTCCCCTCGTCACCAGATGTTCTCCGATATACCGACCCCGTCGTACAACCAGACGTCATTCCGAGGCCCAGGAGACGCATCCAGTGGCCCTTCAGATAATTCCCGAGCCGCCCATGATACAGGCTTTGCTCCTATGCAGCCCAGCTATGACCAGCCTGCTTATAGGAGCGACGCATATAGCCAACATCAAGGTGCCTCGGCATCTTATGGTTCGTTGAATGGCATGTTATCTCCCGGCTCAGACGACACTCGTTCAGCCAAGACAAAGAGGCGAGAGAGCTCAATGCTCTTTATGGAATCCAGTATGTAATATCAGCCGAAGCTCCACGGGGGCATTTCTCTAATTCTATTCAGATCCAGGAGATCTTTCATTCTACCAAGACAAATAGTCAAATAACCTCACGCAGTCATTGTGAACATGCTGCTATCATGATCTTCTCGACAACTTTCTATCTTTCGATCATCGATGAGGCCACCTTTTCCTTTCTTTACCGATCACGATTTGCACGCAGAATGACGACTTCACCCACTTGGCACCAGCAGAATCGCATGGGAATGTTTAATGATAATGGTAATTAGGACGAGGTTGCAGTAATGAGGCACGAGCCTCGAGCTGTCGTGGAGATCTTTTATTTCTTGATCTATCGTTATACCCCTTTTTCTACTTCTTTCTCTTCTTTTTTTTTTTGTTCTTTTCTTTGATTGATTGATTTCATTTTGTCTTTCCACTATTGGTTCCTGTTGTCCGTGACCTGTCTACTTTCCATGTCTAATTCTTCCCACGCACCGGAGACATCTTGTATCTACAGCGATACGATTGTGCGTTATAGCTTGATATAGTACAATGTCCCCCACCATATCATTGGGTCCTTTGATCAGAAGCAAAGTTGACGTAAATTCATTATATATCAAGACTGTTTATGTTCTATCACTAGAGAGATCAAAAGCGTCCAGTTCGCTCGCCCCGCCATAAGCCCATGAGTTCGCCATTTTCCCGGGCCCAATCTCGCACACTGTCCACCAGAGCCTTGGCCATTCCTTTGTTCTTAGACTTGCCGTCCGAGGTGGCCCGGCTGTGGCCCAACCCACTGGCGGCACGGTCTCCAGTGGCATACTCGGATCCCATACTTGGCAGCACATTCTCACCAGCACTCAGACTGACAAACAGGGCAAAGGGGACCAGCCACACACATAATCCAAAATAAGAGGCGACCTCAGAGAATGAAGGCATTTCGTCATAATTCACCTGGTACGGCTGACGCCAGTTGTTATCGGCTCGGCGGGATGGAGAGGGAGGCATCGAAAAGTGACGAAACCATAACCAATGGTTCAACAGCACCAGAATGCATGAGAGGATGAAGAGTGGGTCGGATAATTTGACAATGGGGAAGCGGCGCAGATTGCTCGCGTAAACCAGGTGGGAGAGGATGCTGAGTAGGGAGAGCCAGATGGGGAATCGGTCAAAGATAATTAGGAGGACCTGGATGGCGATAATGCTGTAAATGAGGCGATTTAAGAGCTTCCGTGCTAGCACAGTATGCTCCTCAACTAACTCAGACAGATAGTAAAGTCCCGAAGCTAGTTTGCGTGTCAATGGAATCTTTGGAAGTTCGGGGGAAGCTTAGGCCTACCGATGGCTAGAGTGAGAAAAGCGAACCCAACAATCACCCCTAAATACCCGACGAGAGAGAGAATCCACATTTTGAGGCACAAAGATAGTATTGGAAATTGGAATTGGGATACTGAGAGAGGAAGAAAAGAAGACGAACGCGATTGATTGAAAACGAACGTGATCGACGACTGCCTCAGGCCGCCACCCCACTCCGGATTAAAAATAAATTGCAAACTAAAAATTATACCATGACATAGCATTCCGCAATCTTCACCCACCGCCATTATGTCGCGCCCCGAGGATATTCTGTGAGTCTCCCTTATTTGATTCCTCCCGTTTTGCCTCTTTCTTGAGCACTAACCAGAGAGCCCTTGTGCCGCAGGCCGCCCGACCTCTTCTACAACGACAATGAATCCCGCAAGTATACAACGTCCTCACGTATTCGGAATATTCAAGCCGACATGACAAACCGAGCCCTGGAGCTTCTGGACCTTAAGTCTCCTTCCATGATCCTTGATGTTGGATGTGGTTCGGGTTTGTCAGGTGAGATACTGTCGCAAGAGGCTCCCGAGGATGGTGGACCGCATACGTGGGTGGGCATGGACATTTCACCAAGCATGCTGGATGTGGCTCTTCAACGCGAGGTTGAAGGCGATCTCTTTCTTGCCGATATTGGTCAGGGAATTCCTTTCCGGCCCGGTTCTTTCGATGCGGCAATCAGTATCAGTGCCATCCAGTGGTTGTGCAATGCAGAATCCAGCGATGTCAGTCCCGAAGGTCGCTTGAAGCGATTCTTTGAGGGCCTTTACGCCAGTCTTCGTCGGGGTGGACGAGCAGTCTGTCAATTCTACCCCAAGAATGATATTCAGCGGAGCATGATCAGTGGGGCTGCCATCAAGGCCGGCTTCGGAGCTGGCATGCTCGAAGACGATCCAGGCACCAAGAATGGCAAGCTGTACTTGGTCCTTACTGTGGGTGGTGGTGGCCTCCAAGGGGATATTCGAGGTGTTGTGAACGGCATGGATGATGTCGATGTGTTGGATGCTAGGAAAAAGGCCATGGAAGTGAACAACGCCCGTCCGGCCCGGAAAGGTGACCGAGCATGGATTATGAAGAAGAAAGAACAGATGGAGAGGAAAGGAAAGGTGGTGAAGCATAACTCGAAGTACACCGGCCGCAAGCGACGTACGGCTTTCTAATTTGCCATTCGGGCACGCTTCGTCCCAGTCCGCCATTCCAGATGCACCAACGTGCTTCAAAAAGTTCTTCGTTTCTTTTGATACCCCTTTCCCTCTGAACATCCACATTCCGACACCCATGAGTCTCGGAAGCATTCTCCCGGGGGCAACTTTCTCTCTCACAACTTCGGGGTTGAAATTTTTGATGTGCAGGGCCTCACTGCTTTATTACCATGGACCACAAAGGCACCATGTCTGTCTGCAAACTCATTTGGGCTAGTCTAGCTAAGAGGTGATACCTACAATTCCTACCCTACCAAGATAGAAGTTTTCTGTGGAATCCAAAAAAGTGTCTATTGCTATAACTTGCGGGGACATGGCGAGCTAAATAGGATGAAAGATAATACATAATGGAGGATCACCCCAGCTGGCTCGACTTCCGAGCCAGTCAAGAAGTCATCCCCGGTCGTAGCGTAGCGGAGGTGGGGATCATGGAAGGCAGGGGGTTTTCCAGACAAAAAAAAAGCTTTACAGAGCAGCCTCCATCTTGTCCAGAACAGCCCGGGTGAACTCGTGAGTGGTAGCCTGACCACCCATATCACGGGTTCGGGTCTGACCCTCACCGATCACATCGTAGACAGCCTTGGAGATGCGGTTGGCGTGGTCATCAAGACCAAGGTGACGGAGGAGCATGGAGCCAGACAGGATCATAGCGCTGGGGTTGGCCTGGTCCTTGCCCTTAATGTCAAGACCAACGTGACGGCAGCCAGGCTCGAAAACGGCGACATCACGGCCCATGTTGCAACCAGGAACAACACCGGGGCCACCAACGAGGGCAGCACCGACGTTGGAGAGAATACCACCGTACAGGTTGGGCATAACCATGACGTCGAACTGCTGGGGGCGCGACACCGCCTGCATGGAGGCGTTGTCGACAATCATGTCGTTAACTTCCAGAGTGGGGTAGTTCTCAGCGACCTTGTGGAAAGTGCTGCGGAAGAGACCGTCGGCAAGCTTCATGATGTTTGCCTTGTGGATGCAAGTCACCTTCTTGCGGTTGTTGGCAAGAGCGAAGCTGAAAGCAAACTTGGCGATGCGCTCGGACTTGGCGCGGGTGATGATCTTGAGAGATTCAACCACGCCCTGGACGGACTGGTGCTCCAAGCCGGAGTACTCACCCTCGGTGTTCTCACGGATGATGCAGAGATCGACATCCTTGTGGCGAGTCTGGTATCCTGGGATGTTCTTGATCAAGGAGATCGAGGCGTAGATGTCAAGTTCCTGGCGGAGAGCGACGTTGAAGGACTGGTGACCGGAGCGCTCCACCGGGGTGTGGAGAATACCCTTCAAACCCAGCTTGTTGCGCTTGAGGGAGGCCAGGGATTCCTTGAACAGCTCCTCCGAGTGCTTGTTTCCGGTGTCGACACCGCTAACATCAACCTGCTCCCACTCAATGGGCACATTATCGGCCTTGAAGATGGTCTTGACCGACTCGGCAACCTCGGCACCGATTCCGTCACCTTAGCGATCCATTAGCATCCAATTTGCCGGCGCAGAACCACCAAGAAAAGAAAAAAGAGGAAAATAAAAGCGATCAAGCATACCGGGAATAAGAGTGACAGTGTACTTTCCACCGTACTTGGTGGGCTTGAAGATGTCGGACTGTACGCTGGCGAAGGCTGGCAGGGATTAGTTGGACAATCCACCAATTATGTTTGCACGGCGCAATGGGAGTGTCTGTTTTGTCCAGTGATAGGAATTGGGGAGAGGTTCTGGGTCAAAGCGTACATCGAGTAGGGATGGAGCGAGCGACAGAGGGGGCCACGGAAGCGCTGCGAAGCAGGGTCTGCATTTGGAGATTAGCTCGGTTTTTGCGCGCTGGGGGATTAAAGGGCGCTGAGCACGAACCCGGGCAGGTTGAGCCGATCGGGAGAACATATTGTATTAGGGGATTTCCTTTGGGAGAGGAATGGGAAATTTTTCACCCTTTTCAAAAATGTCTCGGTGAACAGGTATGGAGTGGGGAAAGGGAAGGCGGTTGGAGGTGGAAAAGAAAGAAAGGAAGGGACGGAAAAAACGGGCCCCGGATGGGCTCGGCATCTGGTATCGCGCGACACTTAGCAACCCCGGCCCGATCTTATCTTAGTACATCCCATCTCCATAGTATTAGTATGGGTGAACAATGTACCTTGTTTCAGTCCCATGTTTTTAATGTTTGCACGTTTCGATGTTTTGTATGTTTACGTACTCCCTATTGACCCCCAATTTCGGCCATCCCACCATTCAGTCGCCTTATTGAAATACACTTTTGGTAATTTTTCCCCTTCCAACCTTCGCTCTTTTATTGTTCTCGGCAACTTGATCCTTCCATGTCATAACCCAGAGTCGGCCTGATTGGATATGCCAAATCTCTTCATGAAAGACGAATCTCCACTTCCCCCCAAAGGAAGTCCATACGGGATATCTTCTAACCTAGTGAATGAAAGAAACTCACAAGCTCTGACTCGAGAAGATTCCCAATCTCAACCTCTATAGGGCAAATGAGAAAGGCCGAGTCAATGCACCCCAAATCCCAATTTGGGTCTCAATAGACGCCATCTCCCCTCGGTGGTCATCGTTCTTTGAGGAGCCTCATCCAGAATGGAAAATATTCAATATCCCCCTTCAGTGAAGTGGGATCCTCGAATCTTAAGGTATAAAGTCGGGGTGTTCACGTAGTCTGGCTGTTTTTTCTCCATCCTCTTCCATTCTCTCTCAACATTATACCATTCCAATCAATTCCTATTTCAATTCGCTTTTGTGAATTCATTCTCTCTACATCATGAAGCTTCTTGCCGTTACCCTCGCTCTGCTCGCCGCCTCGGCTGCTCCGGCTGCGGCCATGTCTCGCTGGTGCTCTCACCCTGGTCAGCCCTGCTACAAGATGAAGCGTACTACCGACATATCCTCCGAGGTCAAGCGTTCTGCTGAGGCCCTCGCCGAGGCCATGGCTGAGGCTCAACCCGAGGCCATGTCTCGTTGGTGCTCTCACCCTGGTCAGCCCTGCTTCAAGGTCAAGCGTGCCACCGATGCGGTCGATGAGGTCAAGCGCTCTGCCGATGCCCTTGCTGAGGCTATGGCTGCTCTTGAGGATGAGGAATAAAGGTAACTATGCTGGTCCCCTCTGACGAAGTTTCTATTCTTTACTGATAAAGTAAAGAGCCTCACACGCCTTCATATGCTCCCTGTTGTCTGGTCTACTGAACTACCCTTTCAGCATGATTTGTGCTACATTCGACTGCATTCTGGAACCAACCTGGCAACGGTGATTGGGGGAACTCGACTGATGTGGACGGACACGAAGATTCATGGCGCACACTCGTTTTTATCTTGGCCATGGATGTTGCCTTTTTGTGACTTCTGTTAATGGGGCTTGAACATGATGAGAAAACTTGAAAATTTGAAAATATTAACCATGTATGACACCGCTCAGATAGCAATGCACTAGCCCTGGAAGACCATCCCATCTTTCCAATATGTACATTGTTGATGATTCTCTTGATAAATCAGTTTGTTATATCTATAAGAAGTAGACTGGGGTTCTGGATTAGTTCTAGTGGAACAAGGACGGTTGAGCAAAACCACTGCCTGCATCGTATCGGTTCCTCTCTTGGAATACCCCATATTGTGACTCCATAGGCTCTGTCCCAGCCACTTCCCACCAGTGTTGAGACTTGTATACCGGGTCCGTTGCCGATGTATACGGATGCCCTGTGGTAGGTTCCGTGGGCTGCTGGTGTGTCTGATAGCCGGAAACCATGTAAGGTTCTGCCTGTGTCTTGATTTCATCCATCCGGAGGTCTTCTCCAGTAAATACCGACTCCGAATTCGCTAGTCCCTCGGAGGATCTGGCGTAGAGCTGCCATGTCTGGATCAAGCGCCGTCTTTGTTCGGCATCTGCGTTTTGGAATAGGTCCAGCTGGCGGGGTAGCATGGTCGAAGGGTCGAGACCATGATGCTGTAGGATCTCTATCGGGGCTGGATCTGTGCAGGCTTGAGGTGGAGGGTTCGGGGAAGGAACTACGTGGGTGGAATGGTGATAATGCTGCGAGATGCTGTAGGAAAGGGGTCGAGGCTCGGGCGGCGACTCTATGGTCATTTGTCGATTGAACAAGGCCGCCAGCTCGTCTTGCAGCTTTCCGTTGCCTTCAGAGACTGAGAGGCCGCACTAGAGACAGGGCAATTGCCCGCTTGTCAGGGTGTGATACAATATAAAAAAAAAAAATAACATAGATTATAGTATGTACCTGAATACAGTGTGGGTTCTCGATGAATGCAGCCAAGGAAAGAGAGATATCAGAGACATGACCACAGAATGGACACTGATGGAGGATGGAGGATGACATGATCTGAAACTGAATCGTGTTTATGCTTGGGGCAGGGAACAATATATGAGGTCTGGTGTATAGTCCGAAGGGTACGCCCAACCGACCAGAAGTAAAGTGGGGGGTATTGGATAGTAAGGATCAGGTCCAGAGGAATCATTAAAACCAGCAAGGTGAAGATGAGAATTATCAAGAGTAAACCGAAGTTAGAAGCCCCGCACCAATAAATATATCGAGATTTTGTGATGCCCAAACCCTGAAGTATGCGAGAGTCCGAGTTTGGGCTGCAATACCCCCGTAAGATAAACCAAATATTACACAATTACCGAAAAGTTACCACACACGTGATCCAGGCAACTCCCGTGACGCAGCTCTCTGGACCTTCCCCGAACGAGGTCATCAAGGTCAAGGCAAGCTTGTCACCTCCATCCAACCTCTTTTTTACCTGGTATTTTCTCACCTTGAAACCCATCTGTAACCTCACACATCAATCATGGTGAGTTTGTTGTCTTATCCCTTATCAAGAATGTCCCGTCATCCACAGAGAGCTAACACCTGGATAGACGTCAATCGGCACGGGCTACGATCTCTCCAACTCGGTCTTCTCACCAGATGGCCGCAATTTCCAGGTACGACCAAGGAAGACGAATCAACGCCAAAGATCACCAAACTGGAGGGACCTATCACGGCTGACCAATCCCCACAGGTGGAATATGCCGTCAAGGCTGTCGAGAACGGAGGAACAGCTATCGGCATCAGATGCAAAGATGGTGTGGTGCTAGCAGTGGAGAAAATCATCACTAGCAAGCTCCTAAAACCCGGTTCGAATAAGAGGATCGCGACGGTGGATCGCCATGTCGGCATTGTAAGCTGAACCTTGCCCTTGCCTTTCTTAGCCCCCCCCCCCCCCAATATCCCAACACTTGGGACCTGATCATCCCGGGCTGAGATTGCCAATTTTCTCTATCGATGTCTAACTATCATCTCTTTACCATCTAGGTTTCGGCCGGACTTGTACCTGACGGTCGTCACTTTGTTTCCAGAGCTCGAGACGAAGCATCCTCGTGGAGAGGTACATACAAAGCTCCCATCCCTACCTCAGCACTTGCGAACCGTCTAGGTGGCTATGTACAAGCGTACACTCTCTACTCCAGTGTACGGCCGTTCGGTGTGACTTCTATCGTCGGTGGATGGGACTGTGAAGCGGAGCTGGCAGTCGACGGCCAGGTGGGTAGCGGTCCCAAGTCAGGTTCCGGTGGAAAGGTCGAGGGTGCTCCAGCTGGTGGACCTGGTCTGTACATGATCGAACCCAGTGGGCTCTATTGGGTATGTTAATCCAATATTAATTTTTTATTCTATGTCAAGGGACGACTCACTAACAAACATAGGGCTACTATGGCGCTGCCACCGGAAAGGGCCGACAGGCTGCCAAGGCAGAGCTGGAGAAATTAGACTTGACCTCTGGCAAGCTGTCTCTATCGGAAGGTGTGAAGGAAGCTGCCCGCATCATCTACGTTGCTCATGAAGATAGCAAGGACAAGGAGTTTGAGCTGGAGATGTCATGGATTAGCTCATTGGATGGTCCTACCAAGGGTCGTCACGAGGAGGTGCCCAAAGAAATCCGCGAGGAAGCAGAGCGGTTTGCGAAGCGGGCACTTGAGGGCGAGGACGAAGAGGAGCAAATGGAGGAATGAAACAGCAATAGATCTGGCAGTGCATATTTAATCTGATGCTTCACCAACGCTTTTTACCCCTTTGATAGCAATCATAGAACCCACACAATCTCAGCGTGGTGTTGGTTTTGTCATGGTTTCTTAATTCCTTTACAAAATCTTGCCCTCCGACCAATCGCGTCTCTTCACACCTAGCTCAACAGCGGCACTACCCCAATCTTCGCCATGGTTGTGCATCCCACTGTTACCCAATCCTGCTCGCTCCAAGCCCTGCTCCTCAGTCAAAACGGTCAATAAACCAAAGATAACCGGGATGCCGGAATCCAGTTGAACTCGCATCAGTCCGTGGCTCACGGCGTCGGCAATGTATTCAAAGTGCATTGTCGCACCCTTAATCAGAACTCCAATCGCAATGATGGCATCAAAGGGCTTCTTGGGCGAGACAGTGGCTGATTTGCTCAGATCAGAGGTGGAGGCTGACAAGAGGTCGGTGGCACTGATGCCCTCGCCGGAGGAGCTCGCCTGAACCTGGGAGGCAGCATACAACCTGGGCGAAAGCAAGATTGATGAGCATCAGACAGTGAATCCAGAAAGAGGAGGATAGGGGGATTGGGTGAGACTATCTTACCGTTGCACACCAAGAGGCAATTCGTAGCTGCCAGGAACAGTCTGGACGGTAATGTTATCCTCACTCACGCCGCCAGCCAGCAAGCTTTTCTTGGCTCCAGCCACCAGCTGATCAATAATGGTTGCATTCCATCGTGCGTGAATAATGGCAACACGCAGCCCAGAGCCTAAGTTAGGGATTAGTGAGGGAATCTCTTTCATGTGTCACAGAAGGTGGGGTTGGATTCCATACCGTCATGGCTCTGCACAGCTCCAGGACCCTTAATAGGAGACATTGGTAAAGTATATAGATTGAAGAAATGGGACAAGATCAGGGGAGAAGTTGACGCTGTTTAGAAATGACTAGGAATTTCGAGAGGTGAAGAGTTGGAGAGTTCGGAGGTTCGAAGGGTTCGCGACGCAAACATCGGTCCCGCATTTGCCGCATTTCTAGGCGGAGAAGGCGGAATGTGCTACTAGAGACGGGACAAGAGTACGTGACAAGTAGGAGTTACAGAACTAATATATGTCATAAGGAATGAATTCCATTCTCCTGAAAGCTAAAAGGAACATTAAAAGGAGAGAGAGACAAAACACCCTAAAAGAAAAATATCATGATCGTTGTCTTACTCCAAACCCTCTTTAAAAGGAAACACCCCCACCGAATCTCATCTCGATGTCTTTTACTCAACCGTGACAGACTTGGCCAGGTTGCGAGGGAAGTCCACGTTCAAACCCTCACCAACAGCCAACCAGTACGAGATCAGCTGCAAAGGAATCACGTTGACTAGACCCTGGAGGCAATCCACAGTCTTGGGGACAACGATCTTCTCGGTCAGTGCGGAAGAGAACTCAGGGTCATCCTGGTTGCAAATCACAATGGGGCGGCCACCGCGGGCAATGACTGGACAATACTTCGTTAGTACCCGGCCTCAACATAGAAACAGATGGACTTATCACTCACCCTGTTGATAGGCGTTCAGAGACTTGGTGAACAAGTTGTCACGAGTCAAGATCATAATGATAGGCAGGTTCTCGTCCACCAAGGCCAAGACACCGTGCTTCAGTTCACCAGACATAACAGCCTCGCAGTGAAGGTAAGAAATCTCCTTGATCTTGAGCGCACCTATACAGAATCAGTTAGCATCCCTTTGGAAATCACACCAAAACAAGCAGAGGGTAAGAAAAGGGTAGCACTCACCCTCGAGGGCAGTGGGGAACTGGGCACCACGGCCCAACAGAAGCAGACTCTTCTGGTCCTTGAAGAATTTGGCACACATCTCCTTGATGGGCTCATTGAGCTTCAGAATCTCCCGGAACTGCTCCGAAACCTTGCCGAGACCCTCGACAATCTCCTCCCGTCTCTTTTGCTTTGAGGCACGGTCCTCACTGAGGGACAAGGCAAACATGACCATGGCAACGAACTGAGAAGTGTAGGCCTTGGTAGAAGCAACACCAATCTCAGGGCCAGCGTTAATGTGAACACCACAGTGAGTGAGAAGAGAGATGGAGGATCCGACCACGTTCACAATACCCACAGTCAGGGCACCACGCTCCAGACAGTAGCGGAGGGCCATCAGCGAGTCTGCGGTCTCACCGGACTGGGAGACAAATACACAGGTATCATCACGGAAGACCGGCGCCTGGCGGTCAAGGAAGTCGGAGGCCAGCTCGACGGCAATAGGGATCTCCGTCAGTTCCTCAAAAACTCCACGCACGGCCATACACGAATGGTAGCTAGTACCACAGGCAATGAAAATGAGGCGACGGCAGCGACGGATGGTGGAAATGTATTGACGGAGACCACCCAGGGTGACCTTCTTGTTGACGGCATCCAAGCGGCCACGCATGGTGTTGACCACGGACTCTGGCTGCTCAAAGATCTCCTTCTGCATGAAGTGGTCAAACTTGCCCTTCATGATCTCCTGCAGCTCCAGCTCAATAGTCTGAATGGCGCGGACATTGGAGGTGCCATCATCCTTGCTCAGACGGTGGATGTTCAGTTGGCCCTCATGAATATGGGCAATGTCATCATCCTCCAGGTACAGCACCTTCTTGGTGTGCTCCACGATAGCGGAAGGGTCGGACGAGAGGAAGAATTCAGCGGGCTGAGGAATACCGTCATCGGAAAGGAAGGCCCGCGATTGGGAGCGGTGCAGGAGGGACTTGTCTGGCGGGGCCAGGAGGCTGGTGGCGGACTTCTTGATTGCGGCATTCTGGGAGGCCTGCTCCGCAGGAAGAGCACCCTCTTCCGAGAATTCCACATCGACAAAGTCCACCTTCATCTTCTTCGAAGTTCTCACACCGATAACCAAGGGAGAACCCTTGCGGGCGGCAATGACCTCATGGGGGTAGTGGACAGACTTGAGCAACAGACCGAAAGCACCCTCCAGCTCCTTGATGACGGCCTTGGCCAAAACAGTGAAGTCGATATCGGGGTGTTGATCATAAAGGTATTTGGCAAGCTTGGCGATACATTCGGTATCCGTCTCGGTCTCAAAGCGGAAGCCCTTGGACTCCAGCAGAGCCTTTAATTCCTTGTAATTGGTAATAATACCATTGTGAACCACGGCGAATTCCCAAGTCTGATCGGATCTGTCCAGCAAAAACCAAACGGACGAGTCAGTCAAACCACCACATGGAGAGGGTTGAAGGTTGTGGGGCGTCTGTAAGAGACCAGATCAACTTACCGGTGGGGGTGGCAGTTCTGGCGGGAGGGAGTGCCGTGGGTGGCCCAACGGGTGTGAGAAATACCGGCGTGCGATTCAAAGGTCTTGGTCATGTCGGGCTTGCTCTCGGCAATGAGCTCCCGCAACTTGGCGACCTTTCCTACCTCCTTGAATGCTTGCACTTCGTTCTTCTTGTCACCATCCACGGCCATACCGGCCGAATCGTAACCCCGGTACTCCAGGCGGGACAATCCTGGAGAGATTTGTTAGCTGAGGAAGGGGGGATGCGGGGGGTTTTTTTGATCATTTGGGTAAAATTGCTATCACTCACCATTGAGAAGAGTATTGATAATGAACTCACGGTCCCGCTCGACAAGGTAGTTAATGTAGCCAAAGATTCCACTAGAAGTTGTGAGCAATGATTCCTGAAGCTCTGGAGAGGGAGGGGGACACATACCACATGATGGGCAAAGTAGTACAGGGAAGGAAGGAATAAGATTAAGAAGGTTGTAAGGTAGTGTGTATAGGTGTAGAGAGAGGTGTAGGTGTAGAGAGGGGGTGTAGGAGTAGGGGAAGTGGGAATTGGGAAGTTGGCAGGGAAGCTGGAAATTCGTATTTATAGAGGGGGACAAGGGAGGGGCGGTATGATTATTATTAGCTTATTTATTATTTTCCTCTCCACCGTACGGAAGCTACTGGGCCAATGCGCTCGATGTCTCACTCCAGGCTTTTCCATGGAATGGCTTGGCTCCACTCTTGTTTATCATATATCAGGGGGGGGAGAAATAGAGAGAAAATTTGGTCAGAAACGAGAGAAAAAGAAAGAGAGAGAAAAAGAAAACAAAACCTCCGAGAGTTCTCTACCCGTTCGAAATCGGTTAAAGTGACAGATGTTGTTGTTTAAAAGTGGAGTAGATCGAAGTTCATTTTTGTTGTGTTTCGGCTTTGGTTTCTCCCCCGGCAACATAACCCACCTTGATGACACCGGTCCCTCAGAGTGATACAATGGATGTCCAGGTACCAAAGGATTTTAGATTAAACAGAATCAAGGTCCAACTATTTTACCAGAATACCAATTCGTATCTTCATGGATTATTCAGTGGATCAGGCATACACTAAAAAAGAAAAACATAGCTCGGGACCCATACCAGGTCTCAGAGCTACCCGTAACGATACTATTTTTACCATGCTGAGCCCCATCGCCACACTTGGCCGTGGCGTATGGTTCCTGGAGGGTTTTTTTTTTTTTTTTTTTTCTATCTCTGCTCAGATTACGAAAATCATCAAGGTTGAAGTTCTCAAGGCCCCCGAGTTCGTACATATAAATATATGATTCATCTAGGAATTACCCAGCAGTAAGGGGGAACTCACGCCAGATAGATTATGTACCCCGTATTGCTCCTAGTATTGCCCAAGTACGCTATGTACAGATAATTACATGGTATATGCATCATGCTTAGTGGGATGAAATGTACTAGTCTGTATGCGCATAAAATACAGATCTGAGATCACTGTTCCAACCATCACCTGACTCTTTATGTCCCTGCATTTCTCACCGCCTAACGATCATCTTCAATTATATCCCCACCCATTGACCGCCTCCCCATTCGGTCGCGTCTCGCTCCTTGCAAAACTCTCGGGCTCGCGCGATACAACTACAGACGTTGCTTCACCAAACTCGCTCCCTGGTCCTTTTCTATTCTTTGTTGTCCGACAGCCGTTTCCCTTACGTCTTTCCATACCTTCCATCGTCAAGGATGCTGCTTGGTGATCGCGCGGTCGTCTTGGGCGTGTAGCCACCTCTCATAATGTCACGCGCCTCGGCCGGCTTTGCGGACTTCTTTCCCACGGCCCCGTCGGTCCTGCAGCAGAAGCGCTTCAAATCAGGGGACCGCCGAGGGAAAGGTCCAGATGTCTCTGAGGTGACTGCTCATCTTACGGTCCCCTCCGCTTCTCCCGGTGGGGCATCTGATATGCCAGCTGCGGAGCGACACTTGACTCAACCGGCCTCTGACCTCCAAGGAGGTGAATTTACTGCACCACGAGAGGCGAATGCAACGTTGCCCCCGCCAATGGCCACTGCTTGTGCACCTATCGATACCCTGACGCCCCTGACCAATGTAGAATCATCTCCACCTTGCAAAGCAACGAGCCCGCAGCCGAAGATAGCGGAGGGGAATTCCTCGGATAACACTGACAGACCCAACGAGGACCCGGTCAAAGCCTCTTTGACCCCCATCCATACACCCCCAACCGGTCAATCTCACGTTCGCCCGGGAAACGTGGTCAAGGGCCACCGGGTAGTCTACGATCCCGAACTCGATAAACGCTCTTCCAAAGAGACATCCAAAGAGAAGCGACGCAAACTCGAGTATATCAAAATTCTTGCCAATGACCAAGCCATTCCTTCTGATCCCCGCTTGGCCATCGCCGCCTACCCTCGGGGATCCTGTGGGCCAAAGCACAAATGTCGAATTGCCCCGTACGTCTTGAAACCTTGGCCGTACGATGCCACAACCAATGTCGGCCCAGGCCCTCCCACTGACTTGGCGGTAATGGGCTTTGATCCCCTGACCCCGTTTGCTCCCATCAGTGCTCTCTTCTCGAGCTTTGGTGAGATTGCGGAATTGAAAAACCGCACCAACCCCATCACAGGTCGACTTCTTGGCGTCTGCACCGTGAAATACAAAGACAGCCCAGCCTTTCGTGGTGGTAAACCCGTCTCAGCATCTATTGCGGCAAGGCGCGCGTATGTCGAATGCAAGAAGGGACAACGTATTGGGACTCGAAGGATTCGGGTGGAAATGGATCGCGATGAAGTCACTTCTGACCGCATGGCCGCGAAAGCAATGGAGTCACAGCGCTTGGCTTCCCAGCCCATCAATGCGCTCGAAACAAAGCCTGACCCCAAGAAGAATGAACCTCCTCCGACAGCACCAAAAGGTCCCTCTGGGAGGTCTGCCCTTCGTCCCGGTGTCGTAATACCCCGGGGGCCGAGCATCCCCTCGGGGCCCATCGGCGCGCAGTCTCTGGTTGAAGATACACCGGTGCTAAACCAGATCAAACGCGATCCTTATATCTTCATAGCGCATTGCTATGTTCCAGTTCTCAGTTCTACTCTCCCACATTTGAGTAAACGACTCAAGCTTTTTGGCTATAAGACCATTCGCTGTGACAAGACCGGCTACTATATCATCTTTGAGAATTCCCGACGCGGCGAGGAGGAAACGGAGCGTTGCTTCCGATTGTGCCACATGCAGCCTCTATTCACCTACATCATGAACATGGAAAGTCAGCCTTACGGGAATCCCAATCACGTTCGCAGCCCAAGCCCGGAACGCCTCCGAGCCGAAAAACGAGAGAACGCCCAGAAAGATAGACTCAAGAAAGAGGCTGAGTTGGACATCGAAGAGGAAAAGAAACATCGTGCGGCCAACTTGGATCCTTGCCGGGAAGTGTTATCCATCATCATTCGTGATTTAAGAGACAAACTTCTCGAGGATGTCAAGTCGCGCGTTGCTGCTCCAGCCCTCTATGATTATCTCGACCCTAGTAAGCATGCTGCCAGGAGGGAAAGATTGGGGATTTCTGGACCCGAGGGTACGAAACATCCGACTTTCCGCATCGGTGCGGGTAGCACACTGGGGACTCCAGACTCACGTTCTGGGATGTCCAATGGCCGAGACCCACTCCGATCCACCAACCTCAGTGTACTGGCCCTACCACGAATCCGCAAAGCTCATGGGTCCGACCGGACTGGAGCTGCATTTGTGGATGAGCGACGCCGACAGCCTCTTCGCAAGAGAGAAGTTCGACCTCTGTATCATCGCCTGCAGGAATTACATGATGACGAGGATTCAGACGACGAGCAGCGTACACCGCTCGCTCGGGATACCGAAGAGAGGAGCAGCCGTCCAGCGAGCCGGGCAAGCTCTGTATCGGCATCCGAACAAGATGAGCAATATCAATCGGATGCAGTGGGGTCGTTTGCCGAGAGTAGCGCCCTGGCGGCGGATGAAACGGATGAAACAGAGAAAACTAGCGATGGATTTGTCCATGACTTGGAAGCGTTGTCTTCTTCCACGCTCAAAAGAAAGCGGTTTCCTGGGGAGACCGATGCACGGAAACGTCAACGGCAAGACGATGAGCTTTCCAGCATTGAGCCGGAGCAGGCGATCGCAGGCGACACCACTGGGTCAGTTACTGCAATCGAGACTAAGTCTTATATTCGATTGCCGGTGCATGATGAAACCACCAAGGAACAAGACACCGACGTTGTCCCAGAAGAGATCGCCCCTGACGAGAGCTCTGATGAAGATGATGCCTGGACAACCAAGGGCATTGATAAACCCGGAGCCGAGATCAAATGGGGAGTTTCTAAACACGAACCACGCGCGACAGTGGAAGATGATGAAGCTATTATATTGGACTTGGATGGTTGGCAGCGCTTGATCAAGGATGAGGAAGACATGCGGTTCCTGCAGGAAATGTTGCTCGATCAGATGACATCGAACGTGGGGAACCTGGCAGCATGGGCATGGCGACAAAAGGAAATTAAGGCTCTCAACCAGCAAGAGCCTAGAGGGCCAACTCGTGATGTGATTGGCATCACTGGCTACTATGTTTCCAATCCAACAGGCGCTGCCCGGACGGAGGGCCGAAAGAAGATTCTCGAGTCTGAGAAATCCAAGTATCTGCCTCATCGGATTAAGGTCCAGAAAGCCCGCGAGGAACGGGAGGCGAAAGCCAAGTCTGATCCTCAGGCTGCAGCCGCTGAAGCTGCGAGGATCGCTGCTGCAAAGACCATTTCTAAATCAACTTCACGGTCGACTCGTGTCAACAATCGCCGACTCATCGCCGACATCAATGCACAAAAGCAAGCTCTTCCCACCTCGAGTGGTGAGGGCGATGTTCTCCGGTTCAATCAACTCAAGAAACGCAAGAAGCCAGTTCGCTTTGCTCGGTCTGCCATTCACAACTGGGGCCTGTACGCCGAGGAGAATATCTCAGCGAATGACATGATCATTGAATATGTGGGTGAGAAAGTCCGGCAACAAGTTGCCGACATGAGAGAAAGACGATATCTCAAGAGTGGAATTGGCAGCAGTTATCTCTTCCGAATTGATGAGAACACCGTCATTGATGCCACCAAACGAGGCGGAATCGCACGTTTCATCAATCATAGTTGTACTCCCAATTGCACCGCTAAAATCATCAAAGTCGATGGGAGTAAGCGGATCGTGATCTATGCACTTCGGGACATTGAACGAGGTACGTATAATGTGGAAAATTTTCCACCATCTCCTCTCTCTCTCTCTCTCTCTCTTCCTCCGTCTTCACTGTTGGAATGCACTACTAACAACTTAACTAGATGAGGAGCTCACGTACGATTACAAATTTGAGCGAGAGTGGGGCAGCGATGACCGTATTCCTTGTCTCTGCGGCTCAACTGGCTGTAAAGGATTCCTCAACTAAAGGATCTACGACCAGCCAAGTAGACCAAATTCTTTGATTATATATACGGCGTTGGTTGGGTTGGTGTTTGCATGGGGGCATTTGGGCAGTTTTTTTTTTGATAAAAAGAAAACGTAATCGTGATTCTCAGCGTTATTCAACCCTCGTGTACAATACTATAAATTCTAGGAACTCATTTTGGCATTTTCTTCCACATTTCAAGAGTCGCTTTTGGTTCTCATACTCAGTATCAGATCCTGCGACTGCCTATTGAAGCTGGTGATATTTCGTCTATGACTCCTGGTTATGACCTCGTGGGACGGCGGACTCTTTCGGGTATCGATGTATTTAATATTGAACGATAGCGAATCTCGGTGAGTGCTTGTCGTTTTTTCTATCTCTTGCTTCTGAGTGGGGTATCAAAGGGTCGGCATGTGAATTGGCCATGGCGCATCAAGACTCAGACTGCACAAAACCATGAGTATCACTGTGGAGTCAAGGGAAGATATGGTCCTACCTAGGTGGCTTGGGAGAAGGAAATTGGCGATCCCCTCCTTGATCACGTATTCGTGCCCACAGTTGCCACAGATCAATTTGCCCTCCATGACTTGGGTTTCTAACAGCAGTCGGTGCAAGTCTTTCAAGGTCTGTTGGTCACTGAGTGCCTCGCCTTCCGGTTTAGATTCCGGTAGACTAGGAAATCCGAGCTATAATCAACATGTGAGCTAACATCTTTTTCGAGCCTTTTTAGAGGAGAAGTACCTCATTCGCTGTCACTCGCAGTCCCTCCCAATCAATGCGGGGAATCACATTTCGAATGAACTCTGGCTGGAAATCAAGCTCCTGCATTTCCAACTCGGCATCGTGGAAGTGCAAAGGAAATGATGTCGGGGATGTCTTGCACTCCTTAACAGCACAGGTCACAAAATTGGCGGTGATGACCTTCATGTTTTCGTGATATGATCGGCGTGCTTCCTGGAGGCTTTTTTGACGTTGCTAGAGATTGAAACTGTACCGATGATTATTGATGAACAGCTGAAGGGCAGTTTTCAACCTTTCTGCAGTAAGCTTATGTTACCAAAAGATTAAAGCTTGCTACAATTGCAGTCGGATGAAGAGGCCGTTGAGCTATGAGTTGATCGCTGAAAAAAAAACCCGCACCCCACTTGGTCAGGTGATCTTATCGATAACACCTCTACATAAGCTTTACTTGCGTATAGGTCAATCTAGGAATCAAAAGTCGTTCAAGAATTTGTGATGGCTATCGAATTGCCGACCTTCATACTGCACATATGAAGACAGAAAAGACTGGAGGGTAGAGAGAGGGAGAAATGAAGGGAAGAGGGAGGCAGAACGATGAAACGCAAAAACTAGCACAATCACAATGCTTCAAGCGCTATTTTCTGTGGTTTTTCTGATCGATGCCCGGGCCTTGGTCTACTCTGTCAAGAGATTCGGGACCTACATTCTCTCGAATCAGGCGCTTAGCCTCGGTGACTAGATTTGTGGTTTGATCTGCACATCCACCAAATCAAGATCTGCAATATCGTGGTCACCAAGACAAGTGCTTGGGTCCAATGGATCACCGTCAAATATAAGAGATATGTCTTGATCTGCCGAGAGTTTCTGGCTATCTCTAAATACGGTTATAAGCTTAGACACTCGTATCTTAGGTCTTGCTTTGATCTTCAAGTCGTTCAGCCCCGGGCTGCGGAAAGTCAATTTCATCGGTTCATTCTCTTCATTTGGTTGGTTGCCGGGGCTCAGTGGAGCTGGAGACGGCTGGCCCACCTCAGCATAAGAGCCAGACCGGTTGAGCAAAAGAAGGTCATCTGTCACGGCTTTCATATGAATTCGCAATTCTTTTGGGCCTGTAAGAATATCATCATCCATCTCTAAGAGCGCTCGAGTGTTATTTTCCGGTTTGATCCCCAAGGTCCTGCAAGTTGTCACATCAAATAGCCGTCGATCTCGCCAGGTTAGGTAAACAGGCGACTTTGCCCCCGCTGTGAGTCCTTGGCGTTTGCACCATTCTAGACGCACCTCCCGAAGCCCCTGTGACATTTTTCGATGGACAAGCAACGGTTTGGTGTTTGGAATTTCAGAAGTGATGAGAATTTGGACGACCGGGTCTTCCACTGAGGGCTCGGGTGGCTTGGAGGGCTGAGGGGACTTGCGGGATGGGGATAAAGCAGAGCGGGGTTCATTCTCTCCGACAGCTATTGAGCGAGCTGAGGGGTGGGATGGCGGGCTGGCTGGTGCAGACTGATCTGCACGGTTCATTGACAGTTTGTTTGATAAGCAGGGATCTGTTACACCTGGAGGGAATACTCTGGTGTCTTCGTTTTCATGATGTTGTGGTGTCACTGGTGCATTCGGTAATTCTTCGAGGCAAGCGGGAAGGGGGATATCTTCTTTCACATTGCCCTTGTCCTGTTCGTCAAGTGGCACAGAAGGAGTAGCTGCATCCTCGTTTTGATCATCCGACAGACGTCGGCGCTTAGAACGTTTAGTCACTTCATTGGACATAATGCTGCTGTTTTCATTCGCTTCCGGGAGATTTCTGGGTTTTTTGTGTGCCTCTCGACTGGCCGCAACAATGTCGGAATAGGTTTGTTCAGACCGTCGATAGAATTCATTGGTAGTACCACCTCCTTTGGCTGCCCATGCAGGCTTGTTGAAGAAGGTTCGCATTTTGACCAAGGGTTAGCGTCATCCAGGGCTTTGCAAAAAGAGAAGGAATGAGGATGAGCACAGTGTTGCAAAAGTTGCAAGGTTAAGGCGGGGGGAGCTTGACATGATCCTCCTCACCGCCTTCGTGGGTCTTTTTTGGTGAGTGCAACTAGTGTAAGTGACTGTAATAATACCTTGCTTCACAGACCTTCCACTTCGCAAGGTGTGTCAACCCTGAGCCCACTCTCCAAACAATCTGACTTATGATTTGAAAGCTAGTTCACCCGCAGTCATCATGGAGAACGGTTCAACCTCCGAGGGAAAAGATCCATCCGCCTTCCTGAGCGAAATTATTGGTGCTCCGGTGATCGTGAAACTCAACTCCGGCGTGGTCTACAAGGGTATTTGCTTCCCTCTTGCTCTATTTCATAGTACACTTTGTACTAACACTTTCTAAGGAGAACTTCAGTCTGTGGATGGCTACATGAATATTGCACTTGAAAAGACCGAGGAGTTTGTAAACGGAAAGCTGCGGCGCAACTACGGCGATGCCTTCGTACGAGGAAACAATGGTTCGATAAAATCTTCCCCAATCCTTACGCCTTGCAAGTCTCACCGCAATCAACAGTGCTTTACATCTCCGCGAGTTAATTAGGGTTGGATCCATAATCTTCCCGGGTCCATAGAGGCTGGTCCTACAAGAAATATCAGCGTCGCTTCACGTTCCAGTAACGCTGAATTTGTTGCTTCCAGTTCATTGCATATCAATTTGAGGCCTACATTCCCGACTTGGTGTCATGATCATCTCAGACTTCTATTTAAATAATGATTTTCTCTGGTTATTCCTAACCTCTCCCATCTTCCTCCTCCCATCTCCGGGCCTCGACGAGGGAAGTTTCACGCGGTATCATACTGACTTTCCTACGACAAAGTAGGTATTTTAAGGGCCTGGAGGATTTAAGCTTAGATATTATGATATGCTCGGCTTTGTGATCTGTGGGATGTCCTCTTCAATTTGCGCGGGTATGGGATTATATATAATGCCCGCACTTGACATATATCACTAATCTTGGACCACAACTGAATTCCGAGGTGGTTCCCGCCATCCCACTTGATCAAAATCCCTTGAGGTTAAGGTCCGTATTTCGAAAGAAGTTGGGAGTACAGGATGTCCTCAGTGGGCTGGTTAGGTAAGCCTCAGATAAATCTGGACAGATAAGAGAAAGACAAAAAAAACCCCTCAACCACCCCCGCATTGTCCAGGTCAAGAAGACATTATGTTGCAGGCAATCAAATACAACCAGGGTAACCTGGAAATCCTCGATCAACTGCAGCTACCATTTGTGGAAAAGTATATCCCCATCCAGTCTGCAGAGGATGGTTGGAATGCCATTAAGGAGATGAAGGTGCGAGGTGCCCCCGCCATTGCCATCGTGGCGATGCTCGCCCTGTCCTCGGAACTCCATTTGCTTCGCGCAGCGAGCAAGATCCCCGAGTCTCCAGAGGAGGCACGAAGCTTAATCATTGCGAGGTTGGATTACCTGGTGACGAGCCGGCCTACTGCCGTCAACCTAAGTGACGCTGCTCGCAAACTGGAGGCTCTTGTGACAAACCAAGCAGTGCAACCGGGGGCCACTGGTCCAGAAATAGTGGCATCATTCATCCGAGCCGCGGAGGACATGCTTGGGAAAGATCTAGAGGACAACCAACGCATTGGACACCACGGGGCCGAATGGATTATGGCCAATGCCACCAAAACTGATACTGTCGCGGTTCTCACCCACTGCAACACTGGGTAAGTGTGACTATCACCTTACAGAATTATTCTTGACTGACAGTGCCAAAATAGCTCCCTGGCCACCTCGGGATATGGCACAGCGTTAGGTGTGATCCGCTCGCTGTCGTCCAGAAATGTGCTACGACATGCCTACTGTACGGAGACAAGGCCTTACAATCAAGGATCTCGTTTAACAGCATTTGAATTGGTCCATGATCATATTCCTGCCACGTTGATCACTGACTCTATGGCGGCCGCATTGCTGGCTGACACGAGTGTGGGGGTGGGTGCTATTGTGGTCGGGGCAGATAGAGTTGCAGCCAACGGAGATACGGCCAATAAGATTGGCACATACGGGTTGGCTGTTCTGGCCAAGCATCATGGTGTCAAGTTCCTGGTCGCCGCACCCCTCACAACCATCGACCTGGCGACAAGGTCCGGAGGTGATATTGTCATCGAACAGCGCCCCGAATCTGAGGTAACAAGTATCAAGGGCCCTAGAGACGGGACTGAGGCTGCGGAGAGTATGGTCTTGGACACCGTCCGTATTGCTGCACCGGGTATTGGCGTATGGAATCCTGCATTCGATATAACTCCTGCGGCTTTGATAGATGGGATCATCACAGAAGTTGGCGTGGTCGAGAAAGGCCCTACTGGCCTGTTCAACATGGCCAATCTGTTCAACGATTCAACTTCTCGGCCTTGATGTGACCATCTTTGCCTTTCGTGTTCCCATGGTCTGCTGTTGCCCTATTTTGTGGCGTATCTTCTCCCTCGAAAGCTGCCAGGAGCTCATCCATTTTGCATTCGAGAGCATCAAGGTGGTTTTCCAATGCCGTTGCTGTCATTTCACCTCTAGTGTCAAACGCGTTAGATAAACTCTTATTATCGCCAAGGAGACAACGTGTTGATTGATATACTTAGAGATTTCTGCCAGTGCCTATCGAAGTCAGTACATTGCGATCCTGAAAGTGACAATTATAAAGAGAAAGGGGAGGGGGGGGGGGGGAGCTATAATATGATAGAACCTCAAGTCCTGGTAAATATTATATATGTGGGGAGCTTTAGTCCCTACCTTAGCGAGTTCTAGATCGGGTGCATTGGTTTTAGACATGGTGGTTATATCAGGTAGTAATGAGGAGGATAGCTTAGCCGTGCGCGGAGTTTCGAATCCAAGTCTACAAAGCGGTGGGCTGTTCTACATAGTGCCCCTGTGGAACGTCACGTGTGTTTTACCTTTACCTTTATAAACTACGCGCGAACTAGGCTAGGGTGGAAAGTATGGTGGGACCACTAGATTGTAAAAAGAAGAAAATTATGCAGATTCACGGAAGGGTCTAAATTCATGCCTAGATCGATAGTAGAGTAAGTAAAGCTTAGGTGGTCCTAATTTCAAAGGCAGTGTTTCCAAACTGTATAACGAATACCTTCATTATAAATTATTTTTAATGTTGGCAATTCACTAACCCAACATTGATCGACCTAGTGCTTCATCTGCTTGAAGGGCTAAATCTGCGGTTTCCAATAAACAAACATGGGTCTATGAGATAATGCACGGTGGATAGTAGAATGACCCAAGTTATGATGGGACCCCGAACGTGGTAACCGTTGAATCGAAAATTATTAATCAATAGGCTTTTAAGGTTTATTTTTATTCTTATTTTTCTCTTTTTTGAATTTTATAAATCTCATAAAGACCATTCAAACCCGACTAGATTTTCATGTCAAAATAATAATAAGATAGATTGTTATGAATAGTTTGAACCTAAAAAAAATGCTTCTATGAATTCTAAGTATTATATTAGATATATATCTACAATAGTTAGAATTAAGGCGTAACGTTATCTAATAGAAGGAAAATTTTATTTCTGAATATAATTATAGATCACTTATTTATAGAAAGACATTGAATCTCTCTAAATGTAGATAATAGACTATCAATCGGTTTAAGGGTACTCTAAATATTATCTTAAGGCTTAGATATTAAGATAGATACTTAGAAATAAGCTAGAGTAGATAAATAGATTCTACTACTACTTTCACTATATCATCTAGAGATAATATAATAATAGGAATATATTTAGTTTGAATAAAAGACCTTTTCATAATATCAAGGTATACTATGGTTCTAAAAACAACATACATTATACTTCTTAAGACGTTATAAATGAGCTAGGTGAAAATTAGATTACTTTGTTATAATATATTTTAGGTCGAAGTTAGGTTTTTATATTCTACATTAGAATAATAATAAAACTAGTCCTATTATTACTTGGCTACTTAAATAGATGAGGATATTATGAATTATAAGGTATATCTATTTTTAGTATTATAATATTTATTCGAGTAAAATAAAAGTAAAGAAATAACTAAGAATTGGTTTCTAAGTTTTAATAAACTAGTATTAGCCAAATTATATGTATATATTCTTTTAGTAGTAAATCTAAGATTAATATTGTTAAGGTTAGATAATGATAACTATTTAAGTAACTATTTTATACTAATATAAATATATAATGTAAAATAAATAGATTAAAATATCAAGAATCAGACTAGAAATAAATGTTATCCATCAATTCTTGATTAAATACTATTAATATGACAAGTTTATTGTATTTTTAATTATATCATAACATTAGTCTAAATCACTAATAATTGAATGATTAATTATATTTTAGTGTCCATAAGCTACTATATAAAAGCATGTTCATTCTATATAGTGTTTAAAGTAACTTTTTCAAGAGGCTTATAAAGCTATTTTATACTAGAGTATAATCGAAATATATAGCCCAGGTAAAATTATCTTTATTTATATTATAGTTATCATTATGAATAGCTTATAATCTAGCTTATGTTTGTCTTACATATATATGATTAGACAGATATTAAAGAATGAGACACCTCAGAAGGTATAATATTATATATCAAATAAGACTAATCTAAGAAAAGCGAGAAAAAGAATAATAGATTATCATTAAACTATAATACAAAATATATACGATAAGCAGTATATAGGTACTTTCTTTTAAGGCGATCATATTACTTTCTTAGTAATATATATCTTTCAAAGATAGTAACGAAAAAGCTTATTCCTAAATTTACTAGTAAATCTAACTAGAATTTTCGATCAAATTAGCTACTTAGCATTTAAAAATATTTATTTATAGAATATATATAATAATATATATAACACATATTATATCTTTTTATTTGAATCTCAAATAAATCTTAAATAAAGATTTAAAATAACTTAGAAGTGAAAGAAACTTAAAGAAAGTAATAGAACTAAAAAAAAGGTAGATTATTATCTCTTATAATAAGAAGACTAGTCTTATAGATCTTATTAACTAATACTAAAAGGAGATATTAATATATTAGTATTAATAGTAAGAATATATAATAATATAAGGGAATATATTTAACTATTATTTTAATTTAACTTTACTTTATTTTTATCTTATTTTATCTTTAGATTTAAATTTATTATAAAAGTATAAGGAATAAAAGGGCTAGGTAAGAAGATAGTAAAAGAGAACTAAGAGAAATATAAAATAGTACTAATATAATATAGATTTAGGTCTAAGATAATATAGATTATATTAGTTTTAAAACTAATTCTTAAGAAAGAGAAGAATTAAAAGAGAGAGATTCTTCTTTTTCCTTAATATAGAGGAAGCGAGAGCTAAGTAAGAGCTAGATAAATAGTTTATAATAATCTTACTTTAAATATCTCTTTATTATAGACTAGCTCTAGATAAGCCTAGAGCTTACTCTTAATCTAGATACTAAATTAGAAGTGATTTAGTACTATTTTAGGATATTTAAAGTATCCTATAATTTCTACCTTAGAAAAATAGATATCTATCTTTTCTTTTATAATAACTATTTCTTCTCTTTCTATAGAATTAATCTTAATTCTAGATAAAGAATAATATAAGAAACTAATAGAAGTTTAGGGAATATATATTAAAGAACTTCTAGTTATATATAATATATATTTCTTTATTTAATATAGTATATAGTAATTTTAAAATTTTAGTTTACTCTTAGATACTATTTTACTTTTAATTTATTTCTATATTATATCTATATTATAGTTCCTATAATTTAGTATACTAGAATAACTATAGTAATATAATTATAGTATATATAATATTTTTATAATTAGTTACTTACTTAGACTCTAGTTAAGTCTATAATAAATATTATAGCTAAGATTAAAGCTTTTATTAATCTAGATATACTAATCTTAATATCTTATTTATATTAAGATATAACTATTATATTATATAATTATTATACTCCTACTAAAAAGATATATAAATAAGTTAATACTAGAATAGTAGAGGATATAGCTAATTTTAATCTTATTATTAAATAGGCTATAAAATTCTAAGAGCCTTTAGAAGATAAGAATCTATTAAAGGAGGACTAGATAAAAGATAAATTTTATTTAAGATTAAAATAAGTAATTTATAATCTAGAATAGAGCTTAGAAACTTCTTTAATAATATATTATATTATATATAATTTAATAGTAAAAAAGATAGTAATTCTAGTATATATTAATTTATTATTATTTTAGTATTAATTTATTAATCTCTTACTTTTAGACTATTAAAGTAAATTATTAAAAATATCTTATCTAATATAGATAGGATATTATTTTATATTATCTAGCTAGAGTAGATTATAATATAATAGGTCTTTAATATAAGTATTTATTATAACTTTAAGAAAGTAATAAAGAATATATTTATTAATTAATAATAAAATATATACTCTTAAAAGAGATTAAATAAACTATTTATACTATTTAGAGTATAAATAAAGTTAATACTACTAAAAACTATAAGAAAGATAATCTTATAAAATTATAAATAATAAAGATTTAAGAGACTTTCTTATTAGAGCTAATTATAATTTAAGTATAAAATAAGATAAAAGTAAGATTAATTTAAAGTAAAAGTAAGAGTTAAATATATTTTCTTAATTTTTTAAATTTACTAATTAAAGCTAGTATATTAATATTTTCTTTTATTATCTATTAATTATATTCTAAGGGCTAATCTTTCTATTTTAATAGAAAGTAATCTTCTTTATTAATCTTCTTCTTTTTTTTAATTATTTCTACTTCTTAATTATTCTTATCTTCTAGAGATAAAAATAATATAGTTTTACTTTATTCTTATTTCTAATTTATCTATAGTTTAAATAGTAAAATATAAAAAATATTATAGATTTTATAATATTTTATAAATAGAGTAATTTAATAGGCTTATTAACTAATTTAATCTAGGATTTTAAATAGGCTAATAAATTTAGGGATAAGCTTTTTTATTAGAACCTTTAATTATAGATTTCTTATTAAGAGAGAAATAAGATCTCCTTTTTTAAAGATAATATTTATATATTTCTTATTATATTATTTTTAGTATAATTAAATAGCGATTTACTATTATTTTTTAAGCTTTTCTTATATTATTCTTATTTTTATTATTCTTATTTTAACTTCTAAGATCTCTTTTTCTCTAATATTAATCTTAGTATATATATAAAAGCTAGATTAATATCTTATTAAAATAATAAAAGATAAGACTTTTATTATAGAATTAATAGCGCTATTATAAGTAAATTCTATATTTTAGAATAGAGTTAACTAATTAGTTTACTTAATATTAATAAAGTAATATAAATAATATTCTA